ACCCTGTAGAATCCGTAGACAATCAGAAACGTAAGCACGCACAAATGCACAAAGGAAGAACGCAGACTAAAGAACCATCGTTGACGTAGATGAATTATTTTCCTGAATTTAAACTACTTTTCTTAATATTCACAAGCGCTACTGGCGACGACCCTGAGGTATTCTTTTTACTGCCAATGTCATTAACATTTTCTTGGTGCGTTGTTGTGTGCCGTAGACTAGGGCCGACCATTCACTGGACCTGAGGTGTCGGTTTTTACGCGTTTTATGTACGTTATTTATATTTGTTTATTTGTAAATAACTAATATCCCGCCAAGGCGAAGGTAAGTGGTAAGGATCTTATTATTACATTATTTCAGATGCCATGTACATACATACAGATGATATGCGGCAATATTCAGGTCCCACGTATCGAAAGAAAGTCCAGTGTGTACTTGCTTCGCTTGAGGTACCCGGTTATTTCGAACAATTCTTAATGAAACAGAATGTTTTTTAAATTATAATGGTAAGAATAATAAAGTTTCTTTATTAAGGTCGAAGTTTAGCCTACACAACTCTGCACACTTAAACCATCTTAAAAACCAAGGTATCACGGACTATTAAGTGAAACGCGATTTGACTCTAATCTGTTTTCGTATGGCCAGCTTTACGGCATGCCTTTGCGCTTTAGGAACGTAAATGCAAATTGTTCAATTTGCTTGATATTATTTAGACACGGTGAGCAACTCATAATAATTATTATTGAGAGATTTTTTCTAAAATGTTCTGTTAATATTATGATATATCACCGATCTTTGTACGTTGTAAACAGGTAAATAATAGACGATGTTAATGTAATATATACAGGGTGTAAAGTTAGTAGTGAACCAACAGAAGTCAGGTGATAGAGGGTCACAAAATCTATCGAATGAACCCCTATATGTGTAGTCCGAAATTTTATAGCTCAGGAGATATTTGCAATTTTGCGAAATTTCGAAAAAAACCGAATAATGAATTCAATCGCAATTACAACTAAATCATTAGGTTTAGAGCTGTGATTTTTTTTCTGAGATGAGCTAAATGGTTTTAACAATGGATATGTCACTCTTTAACAGAGCTTATTAGAAATCAACGCAAAAAATCTTTAATTCATTTTTTTTAAATCTCTTCCATCCCTCAACTTTGGAGGGTCACCCGATTTAAATCCTCTAGTTTTTTTATATGTGGGTTTTGTAAGGGGATAATCTATACATCTGAATATACATATGATAACCAACTGCACCACAAAATTCATGAAGCAAAAATAAAAGTTATGGAAAACGCAAATTCATTTCAAACACTAAAGGACAATTTTATTAGAAGGTGTCGCTTGTGAATAGAAAATAATGGAGGCCATTCTGAACATGTTCTTTAAATGTTAGTTAAATTAAATTATTTTTCACATTTGTCGGTAAATCGCCATAAAGGGCGGCTAAACACAATAGGTCCTGTACTTGTAGGTGGTAAGGATTCTATTGCGTTTCTTACGTTTATCGCATCACAACAACGAATGTCACATGACATGTGACATCGTAGCAAGCTGAAATTTTCAGAGTTTATTCTACATAGATTGAAATAGTTTTTACAATGAATGAATAATAAAACACAGCCTCAATTTTTGTACTGCCCTCCAGAGGGATCGAAGAGATTTTCCACAGAAAAATGAATTCCAGATTTCTTGCATTCATTTCTAATAAAAAGTTATATAATCTTTGGTAAAACTAACCATTTAGCAGATCTTAGAAAAAAAATTACAGCCCTAAACCTGATGGTTTAATTGTAATTGCGATTGTAAGTTCATTATCCCATTTTTTTTTCGAAATTTCACAAAATTGCAAATATCTCCTGAACTTTAAAAGGGGTTCATTCGATAGGTTTTGAGGCCCTCTATCACCTGACTTCCGTTGATCCACTACTAACTTTACACCCTGTATTCACTTAGCCTGTCGTTTTCTCAGAATACCTTCAAGCATTAAGTTGCTTATCATTTTTTATTTGATCTCTGGGAGGCTTGATAACTTGGCCCTGGGGCCCTCACATGGCTAAAATACAAAGCCTTTCTACCTTGATGCCCTACGGTCTTGGAGCCCTCGAGGATCTCCGATGTCCCGACCTGCTTAGACGAACACTGCATTATTTTATAATTTTGTAGTGCAACATCTTCATTTTCGCCTCTTGATAGAAACGAATGGAACTAAGTAAGCTTAGGTGACTTGAAACGCTGAATGTGGATATGGCCGTCAAATCACCAAGAAGATACACCTTCTCCCTATACGGTTCCAGGTGGTTAATAATAATGAAGAGCAGTTTAAATGATATTTTTGATCTCTATCAAACCGAAAGGTCACTTTCAGGCGGAGGTGTACCTAGTTACATATTAATATACAGAAAATAGTGCTTAGGAAGTGGGTCTAAGAAAACACCCAAAGTTCAGATAAACAAGAGCCCTAAATTGCCTATTTTCCGAGATACAGGGTGTTGAGATTACAATTTTGAAATAAAAAAATATATATTTTTTAGATTGTATGGATATTAACTTGAGTACTAGCATAAACAATGTATACAAAAATACGCCCTATCTGAGACTACTTCAGTGGCGTACAAATTGGGAAAGAAAGTAAGAAGAAAAGAAGAAAGAAGAAGGAAACCTATTTTCTACGCCACTGTTTTGTTTTAAACATATGTTACATTGTTGAATAAGCCATTAAATCTTACATAAATCGTCTCTCCTGAGAAATGTTTGTCACAGTAGTCTTTTTAGAGAAAAATTGGTTTGAATACTCGAGGTGAAATGCTTATAAAAGATTTCAGCTTGATCTATTTTGTAGATATGCTGAATTTATGAAGTCTGATTTAGAAAATTGGATGTAGTGTGCCAGTAAAGTAATTATATCTCACCATAATCGTTTTTTGAACAATATTTATGTTTTGTACTTATTCAGTTCCATCAGTGGCATAGAAATTTTATACATCCTGTATCTTGATGATTAGATATTTAGTACCCATGTTTGTAGGTACCTTTTTTTTTCTTGGATATACTTTGTATCCTAAAAATATTGTCACGTTTCTCTGAATCACCATGTATAGGAAAACTGTTTGATGCCGAGTCTCTATTCCCAAACCCAAAAATCACGAACCACTTTGATAAAAATGGGTGGGAATAAACTTTATCCTTTTATAACAAAATAAATATATTTCAAACAGATCAGCATTTTATTTACTGTTAACAATACAAATTTACGGAATGAACCTTTATAGCAGTAAAGCTGTCAAGCAAGACTAATTTCAATGCCAAATTCACTTTTACGCCAAATTGGTACCAGAATATCCGGAAATTCAAGATGATTCGAACTAGATGTAAGCTGTCGACATCAAAATGATATCATCGCAGTTAAAAAACCATAATTACACGCATATTAATAGGCGTTTAGAAAAACACCCTGCCTCATTAAGAAATCAGCTTGTTGTTTATCAAGTATTTGAATTAGTGCTGTGATAAAGCACCACAAGGTTATGGAAAATTCTAAATTTTAATTGGGCATTGCGAGTAAGAAGTCGAGGTGTAATGGTTTATCCATGATGAATGTTATCTTTCTAGCAAGGAGAATTCCCTATGAATTAGATCTTACGAGTAAATGTCATTTTAATTACATTGTAGCAAATACTAACTGTGATATTAGTATAACACAGAGCTTCTTTACCCGCCTTTTGAAATGTTAAAAAATATTGATGAAAGTTAAAAATTATAGTTTTTTTGGCATCAAAATATTTGATAGTTGATGGCAAAATATATTTTTGCTCGACTAAAGTCCTGCACCGATATTTATTTGTACTCGTATAGTCGCTGAGCCTTAGTTTGTAGTTTAATGCCATATAAAATAATGCATGCCAAATCCAAAAACAGGAAATCGGTAGATAGTATATTTGAAATTCCGAGATTCAAGGATAATATCAGTAGGATAAAAAGTCAGGGTCCTCGCAAGATCAGCAACAGATCAAGTGCTTTTGTATCATCTATGAAATGTATATTTTCTTATAGCGCGGGCACACAACACAGATAAACAGGTTTTCCTTTAAATATAAAATACATTAAAATTAAACTTTCTCAAGAAAGAAACAAATCAACGATTAATTTGACATGTTTTTTTACGAGGACAAAAATATAATGACCAAAATAATCATTATGGAGTGTGGTTCAAACTCTGGTTACTTGTCGCTTTCGTACATTTTAATTTTACCACTAGAATAAACTCGTTGAAAAGGACCTTTAGCCAAAAATGAACCATAAAAGATTCTATTTGAGTGTACAGTTTTATCGTTATTTGTTATACTATGAACAAAATGTTTTATTCAATAAGTATAGTTTTATCTGTAACTTCTGTCTGTGAAAGTTTTTTCGTATTGGTATTGGTATTTACGAATATAATAAGCCCGTATTTGTATTACAAAAATTATCAAATAATATTAAGACTACTTGAGGTTCAGACCACTTGACAGATAGACGTAAGAGCTACTTGACTTGATATCAGATTGCTAATATCTAATACTTGACTTGCTTTCAAGACAAGTCAAGTCAAGTAGCATGAAAATCAAATCAAGTCGTAAATCCCTAAGCGATTATGATGGAATTTGATGATTGATTTGCTATTTTCGAAAATATGTTCAGTGGCAGCGGAGGCGTGACAGAAATAACATTCTAGTCGTTCCAGAATTTCGTTCTTATATTATATTCTGAAAATAGTTGCTATATTTCTAGAGTTTTCTACAAACAAGACAAATTGTGTACTGTATTATGAGAGTAACGCCATGGAAATAGTACGTTTGAGGTATTTATCTTCAATTTAATACAAATGACCGGTGTCAGAAGGCGCCACAGTGCTGTCCTTCTGTAAATGCGCACGTTCTCATGCTCATGCCAAATCAAATTACTGTTGATGTACTGGTATATCCTAGCAAGATAGTGCGGATAAATGTAACTTACTTTCTAATGCCCATCTTTCATGCTTGGTCATAGCCTCCAAAGCTAATTTGGTGTGTTCGACGCATTTTTCATTTTTGACGCTAAATAAGACTTGTTCAATTATTTCCAGACTGTAAGGGAAGTAGCTGACATCTTGAAAATCTCCGCTACTGGAATCTGGTTTTCCTGTAACAAAAATTAGTAGTTGGTGTTGGTGTAGAATAAAGTTATAATAACCAGGAGATTTGTTAAACCTGTCGATTTCTTCATTTTTGCTCAATTTCCCGCGGCAATCGGTAGTTATTAGTGTAATTAGTGTGGTTTTTTAGAGGATTAACGGGTGTCACCTACGAAGAAGTGTCATCATGGACGCGCGCATGAATTTTTCTCAGCGGGGGCCAAACAGCGGAAGAGATAATCTTTTGTGAACGCGTACACGCCCCAAAAACTTTCTGAAGAAGAGGTGGATTAGCAAATTTTCTCAGAGGGGAGGGGGGTGGGCAGATCCTAAGAATCCTCAAAGTTATACACACATTTACGCTAAATACTGGATGCGGGCAAAACATGAATGTCGTAGAGGATATCTTGGCTCTTGGCGCTCGCTATACTTACAAAAAGGAAGAGACTAGTGTAACACATGGTATGCTACTGGTAGTAAGTAACCCTCAGCGCTAATGCAAATCACGGAAGCAATTAATTTATAGAAATTAGAAATGTTCAATAATTAGAGTCACTTCTATATCTAGCTGGTAAATGTAAGTATTACACTTTTTAAAATAATTGAAATAAATGTCGGGGTGTTCCGGAATCCTGTAAGCAAAATTGAGATTCAGCTCGTTAAAATGTGAAGAATAAACGGAGGTACTTCTATGCTTTTTTTCCATAATAATCAAAAATCATATTAAACATGTAAATAATTATTTTTTAAAGCGGCGCTAGTGCCGGCAAGCTTAGCAAAAAAAAATAGTATGCGCTGGTTTTTACAAAAAATTCTTAGAGCTAATTTGATTCTACTTAAAAACTGTCTCTTGGAATTTTCAGTCAAAACTATTTTATTAACCGATGCATCTTTCTATTTATCGTTATTAAAGAGCAATAATCAAGCAGGCACTTTTACAATAAAAAGCTCCAAGCCATATTGTATGGCATTAAGAAACTGATACTTATTTTTGAAAATGTGGAACTATGCAAGCCACATATTAATATGTATAATTTTTTTAAATTATTGCATGCCAACCTGCCTTTTTTCTGGGTAACACTCCAAAAGTATTACCTTCAACAGTATTATTAACTTCTTTTGTCGTCGTAGTACCCCTACTGATTCTCATAACAGTACTTACTATCTTCCTCCAACGAACCATTCAAAGGGTTTGATAGAACCACGGCCAGGAGACAGAGCACGACGCCGAAGAAGAGCGTACCTCGAACGCGCAGTATCATCTCTGCGAGGTCGTACTTGCACACCGATACGCGCGTCGTTCAACACTGGATGGTACTTCGGAACCACGCTACACAATCCGCGGTCTCGCGATCGTACCCGGAAAGACGGAAGCGGTAATGGAAGAAGGCGACCGAAGAACTTGTGGGTACCTAGCGGTTCTACCGTTTTATACAAATTGAGTTTCTTATCAATTCGATGCAATTAGGCTGGTAATTTGTGGTTTTGCCACCCTGTATGGTATTTCCAGTGATATATATTTTTGCTATAGTACTTAGGAAAGTACTCTCACATCTCTTTTACACAGAAGTGTATCCTGGTAAAAGTATTGCGATGGAAAATTGGATGAAATCTTTTCCTGGAATATTTTTGGTAACTTTTGTCTTTCGTTTAGGTTGTAGATGATATCCCAGTCTTTCCTTGGAAGAACTAGCTTTTCATTTTACCCAGAAATCCGTTCTGGCAAAATTGGATGGAAGGTTTTGGATAACTGTTGAGTGCAGTCGATTTTTTAGTGGTGGATAATTGCTCAGTCGTTTTTAGTTACCGCGCTTACCGGCGGGAAACCAGTGTACTCGCGAAATACCATGTCACTCAGTTGGGATGGTCTGTCTGTCTCTCGGCCTGTTGGTCTGTCGCTATCTGCCTATAATTTGGAAAGTATTGCTCGGATTTCGATGATTTTTTTTCCAAATGTCACTACTGTGCCAAGGACGCAATAGTTTTATAGTTTTTGGAAATCGGCCCAGTAGCGGCAGAGAAAAAGGGCAAAAATGATAAAAATAAATATCGTTAACTTCGTTTTTTACGTTTCAGGTCCTGATCATTTTTGGAAAAGAATCTCAATTTTTTGATATTAGTACATTTAGGTATATGCACCTACTCGTCCAACTAGTTTATCTCTTTCACCACCTTTTACCCAGAAGTGCTTTGTGATAACAGTTTTAGAATGAGGAAATGATCATCATATACTTCGAAGTATTTAGTAGTTTAACATGGAATTTTTGAGGAAGGATTTCCCCTTAGCACCACACACTGATGAGGAAAGTGCCACACCATACCATAGGCGCATCAGTGGAGGTTTTTGCTTGGAAATCCTCGAGACCAGCTCCAATGTTGATGATTCCTTTTTTGAAACGCGTGCTTATTATGTTATTTAAGATCCACCTTTCAGACGGAGGAAATATTTAGTTATATTATTTACACAATATTTATGCAATTTATACAAGGCGTCCCAGAGTGTCAATCCCTCCCGCTGCGCGGCGGGACTGCGCTGGAGGGATGCCGACGAAAAGGAAAATACTTTTGGGTGCTGTTTCCACTCTGCTGATATAGCTTTTTCTCGGATTGACAAATACAACTCTAAAGAGAACATCCGTACCATTAGCATTTACTGATTATTGCATCAGTGTCAGTAACGGAACCTTAAACATCAATAATTACACTGATCAACAGCCAAAAAATATCCTAAATAAAATCAACAAAATATTACTATTTTTAATGTGCTAAAACCGGAATGAAACTTATTTTTTCAATATTAGTTCAAGTTTTAGAGATACGGTAATTATATGTGTTCCTGCTGTGACAGTGTTAATATACTGTAATTCACAAGAATGCACGTGCTACATTTTTATATTCGGCAAGGAAAGATGATGTAATCGGCATGATTGTGTTACGTTATACATACGTGTACATTATATTGTTTTATATTAGCCATTTTTTCCTCAGTTGGCTGACAGCGTTCATGCAAGATGTCTCGAAAGTGTGTAAACAATCCAGATCAGTTTTGTTACGTGTGTGGTGATGTGACTTTTGCGTCTCAGAGACGGTCTATTACTCCACTAATAACAAAGGCATATCAGCTTTATTTCGGTTGTAAACTAACTGATCAAGACAAACAGTCTGAGGAGCTGGTTAAATGGCAAAAAACGGTCTATGCGCTTTGCTGCACCAATGGTTTGGAGAGAGCCTACAAATCATATTAATGATTGTTACTTTTGCATGGTACCTTGTGTTGGACAAGCCACAGGTATGTCCAAGAAAAAAAAATCGGTTATTAACTAACCAAACATACCATCTGCGATGAGACCTGTGCCTCACAGTGACGAAAATCCTATTCCAAAACCCTCAGAATCCTACACTTGCGAATCAGAAAACGAATCAGATCATGGCAATGGAGTGATTCGTCAGGAAGAAGATATGCCATCAACGTCAAGAGATCCTGATTTTATACCGAGCACGTCATGCCACCAACCGCACAAAATAACACAGTCAGAATTAAATGATCTTGTAAGAGATTTAGAACTTCCAAAATGTAAGGCACAGTTACTTGGATCAAGACTGCAGCAGTGGAACTTGTTAGAAGACGATGTTTCGGTATGTGTTTTTCGTAAACGCCACAAAGACTTAGAACCATTTTTCAATATGGAGAATAACTTGGTTTTCTGCAGTAACATTAACGGCTTACTGGCGGCTTTAAATATAAACTATATCCCAGAAGAATGGAGATTGTTTATAGACAGTTCAACATTGAGTTTAAAGGCAGTGTTATTGCATATTGTCAAGGCGTTAGATAGAGATGGGTCAGCTTTTCAATACCTGCGTCAGAAATTTCCAAGACTAAGTGAGGCAAAGGTTAATGAAGATATTTTTGTTGGGCCACAGATTCGAAATATTTTGAAAGATACACAGTTTGAAAACACTTTAACAGGTATTGAAAAAACTGCTTGGAATGATTTCCGTCTGGTGGTCACTAATTTCTTGGGAAATAGAAAAGCTGACAACTATAAAACCCTTGTCAAAAATATGCTGTCATCGTATCAAAAGATGGGCTGTAATATGTCTCTTAAGATACATTTCCTATACTCACACCTGGACTTTTTTCCTGACAATTGCGGAGCCGTAAGTGACGAGCACAGCGAACGTTTTCATCAGGATATTTCAACAATGGAAAAAAGGTACCAGGGAAAGTGGAATCCTTCCATGCTTGCAGACTACTGTTGGACTCTTGGTAGAGATGCTCCAGAAACGATCCATAAAAGAACAGCAAAAAGACAGCGCATATACTGATTCTTATAAGAATATGAATCTTGTTACTTTTTTTAATATATCCTTAAAAATAAAAAGTTTTTTTTCTAAACCGCAACTAATTTTTTTATTTCATTGTCATTTTTGGATTGAGCGCCCCAAAATTAACAAAGAAGTGCACTTTTCCCACAAGATACAATTTAAAAACTAAAATTTGTGTTACCGATGTCATGGCAAGACAGTCAATAAACATCAAATTTCGTGACAAATAATGACGGATCGCCCAGTCGGCATTTAGGATCCACTTTGCACAATATCACTATGGAGGAGACGGATGTGCTGGTGGACCTATAAAGCTACCACAGTCTGGGAATGCCTTCTGATATAATACCAAGATAACAAGATATGCTAAACCCTACTTAGTGACAATTCCACACAGGAATGAGTGGGAACAGCAAGTTAACCTGATAATGAAAGATATCTGTGCATATACAGATGGCTCCAAGACCGAGATAGGTGTTGGAGCAGGCATCTTCGTGCCGAAGATAAAGATTAAAAAATCTGTTAGCCTAGGAACCTGGATATCGATCTTCCAGGCAGAGCTATATGCTATAGAACTGGGTGCCAGAATGACGACAACTGAAGCACAGAACTATAATTATTTTTTTCAGATAGTCAAGCCGAACTTAAAGCGCTTGACTCCACCTACTCGACATCGAAATTAGTGTGGAATTGCAAAGAAGCTCTCTGTAGCATAGGGGAAGGAAATGAAATCCGTCTCATATGTATACCAGGACACACAGGTCTAGAGGGAAACGAGACAGCTTACACTCTGGCAAAGAGTGGAGCTAGCACACCCTTCACGCATACAATACGGCTTAATAAAGATGGACAGAAAGATCCACAAATATTGAAAGGGATTATCAGAGTTAACCCATGCTAAGGCAACTATACCATTCTTGACAAGGAAGGTAACAGACTCTTTGCTACAGCTGAAAAGGAATAGCCTTAAAGCTCTAGTAGGACTGGTCATTCCAAATTGCGTCACCACATGAGCAGACTGAGCATGGAGGGAGATGAAACGGTCAGGCATGTATTGTGCAGATGCCATGCAATTGCCAGAATCAGGTACAACATACTTGGAGACGTAGTACTCCAAGCAGAAGACTTGAAGGATATTTCTCCAAACAAGTTGATCGACTTTCTCAGGAGGTCGGACCTACTGGGGGAAATATAAATAGGTGTGAGCCACAATAGACCAGAGAGTCGCAGTGGAGGATCGTTAATGATGCACTCACAAGAAACCCAATCTAACCTAACCTAACATCCATTTTTAGTATTCTGCCTTTCCCTGAAATGTTAACGTTGTTTTTCTGTCTCTTTAACCCATGTAACTAATTGTATTTTTACAATTCAATGCCCTAACTAAATTACAGTGAAAAAACTTCTGCTGCGCCTAAATAAATATCATCGATAACTTTCTAAATCAATGATCATCTTTTCTGTACATTATATGAAATAATTTGTGATTTGTTTACTAAGGTAAAACATTTCCGGAAAAACATCGATTTTAGTCATTGAAATCATATCCTCCTTTTTTATACAGAAATTTTAATATGTATTACAATTCTACCAGACGGGAAGTTAGATTCGAAGTCAAATCTTGATATGTACTCGCAAAGTTTTTCATGGAAATGTAAACTTTTTCAACTATAATTTATGTATCTACGAATTTGTTTCGCTAAATGATCTAATATGAGAACACTAATCATTATACAGTTCGGAAGGGTTATTACGTAAAAAATCTATATAAAGTAAGATAAACCGATGAAATATCAACTTGTTGATTAGAGAGCTGGTAGCGTGCAAATAGTTCATTCAGCTCCTGTCACAAGTGAGCGTGACGTGATCAACAGCTAGTTCCCAGTTGACATCTTGTAGAAAGACCTACATAATGTAAAAAACCAACAGAATTTCACTTTTCAAGTCAAGTGATACCCCTGCCGTCCTATACCACTGGGCGCATTGGAAAGTATTGTAATCGTGTAAAATTTCGAAAATAAGATATTATTTTTGGAGGTTATACGACATGTACAATGTACATCACGACAAACCATGTCACTCATTTCGATCATCTACCTTCCCCATTCCATACTACCACCAACCCTTCAATTTTAACCAAAAATGTTTCTAAAAATGTTCAGGACCCTCTGAAATGTCAAAAACGAAGTTTGAGCGATTTTTAATTGCCTTCGTATTCCATTCTTTGTGCTGAAACAGCATTTTTTTATATTCCAATTACCACGGAGGCCTAAGGTCTAAATACCCATGGGTACCGTGGAGCTGTAGGGGAAAGGGGGAACGCCACACGGATTCTGGCAAGGGAACACGTGTGCATGCAACATGCACACATTTTGGCCCCGCCTACGAGATCCGCCGGGTGGTACCTCTGCGTTCGACTGTCAGAGACCGTCTACCACCTACGGACAATCACAACATTCTTAAGGCGGACTCCCACTACTCGTGTATTTGGCAAGTACGCCAATATTTGCGTACTTGCCAAGTACACCAAGGTTCGAATTCAATTTACAAATAGGGCGCTCCCACTACTCCTGTATTTGGCAAGTACGCCAATATTTGTGTATTTGGCAATTACAGCAGGTTTCGTTGCCTCTCGGTCTTCAGTGTTTGTTTTCTTTCCATCATGGATAGTCGCGTAGTCGCTTCAGCAGCGTTTGTGGTATTGAGTGGCTGCATGAGAAGAATTAAAGCTCATCAAGTTCAGAAAGCAAAAAGAAAAAGAAGATGGTGGATGACTTCTTTGAGCAGAAGTCGAGAGAGGTAAGTTAATACCTCTATCTGTCCTGATCTACCAAAAGCAAATACCATGCCTTTATATTCTCAAGATTGATACACTGGTCAAAATTATTTTTTTGCAGGTACAATGTCTCCATTATGATAGAGGACCTGATTCGAGAACCGTCAGGAAGGTTGGAGAATTTCCTGCGAATGTCCTACACCGACTTCGAATTTCTACTGAATGAGGTGGGACATATGATAGGGAAAAAAGATACTCAGCTGAGGAAGGCAATTTCAGTTAAGGAAAGGTTCTGCGTTGCTCTCAGATTCTTCGCTAGTGGTGACAGTTTCGTGAGTTTGTCATACCTCTTCAAATTTTCACCACAAACTGTATCCCGGTGCGTTTTCGACGTTTGCGATGCATTGATTAGCGTTCTCAACCATCAAATAAAAGTAGGTATACAACAAACATTTCTACATTGTTTATTCAGTTAAGAAATAAGGTAAAAGCATGGTTAAAGTTAAATTAAAGTATGGTCAAAGATTAGTATAGTTTTCTGTTAATAAGGATATATCATTGCAAATAGTTATTGGAATCTCAGGAGCAAGAGGCGGTTGGTGGGCGGAAGAAGTTGCAGAATTCTGTGGCAAAGAGGTGATCGTCGGAGTTGTATGAAAAGTTTCATCAGACGATGACGAATAGAAAGATGCTGGGGAGGCTGGTTCTGGAAATGCCGATTGATATCGAGGTCCCATCGATGACGAATAGAAAGAAGTTGGAAATTGATATTGAGGTCCCATGGACCTCATTGTTGCCCTGAAGAATACGTTATCAATCTCGTTCATCGCAATAATCCTGTCCACTTCGCTTGACGTCTCGAGCCTCTTAGCCACTAGTTGCCCATAGGCAGTACAAACAGTGGTTTTGGGTGGTTCGGTATTTTGACATTGTTTCATGATTTCATAGGCTTCTTCCATACGACGGTTAGTCTCCTCCATGTCCACGGCCTTCCTTTTATTTTTCTTTGCTCCCCCAACTGGTGCCTTGAAATGCTTTTGGTTGCTTTCAGTGCTTTTTTCGATTCCACCCTCGTTGTTCGCAGATGCAGATTCCGTGTTTGCCTCGATTTCATTACTGTCTTTTCCTCGCATGTCTGCCTGTCTCTGTATATCTTTGTATGTCCCACCGTCCCCACTTGCAGACGCAGATTCCGTGAGTGAATCTTCTTCGGTTTCCTCTTGAGGCATGCTATCCTCCCAATTCTGAAATGAGACAGATGATTTTTTAGCTTCTAAGCATGATTTTACCTTCAAAATAAAGAAATTTAACGCACAGGGCGGCCCAAATTCGAGCGGCACGTTAGTGAGCACCAACATACGCAACGTTGCCACAATTTAACCAAAGCTGTAGTATACTAGGAGATCTCAATGATGTGTCTCGAATTTGGGCCACCCTGTATACGATATTACACTCTGATTATATTCATTAATAATGCTGTCTTCAGGTTTCTAGTTATTATTTCTTTATTCCAGATGCCGAGAAGTTCAAATGAATGGAAAAAAATTGCAATTGAATTCGAGAATAGGTGGAATTTCCCTCATTGCTTGGGAGCTATAGACGGGAAGCATATACTGATTCAGAGCCCAATGAATAGTGGATCAGATTTTTTTAATTACAAACACACTTTCAGTGTTGTTATGATGGCACTTGTGGACGCCAATTACATGTTCACATATATGTGGATGTTGGATGCCAAGGCCGTATAAGTGACGGAGGTGTATTCCGCAATACCGTTTTGGGCAGAAAACTGGAAGAAAATAGACTGATGTTACCCAACGATGAAACTCTACCCAATCATACTCAAACTACTTTTCCTTACGTTTTCGTCGCAGATGATGCTTTCGCTTTGGGACCCCATTTATTAAAACCATTCCAAGGAGTCTACGAAGCAGGCAGCGATGAAAGAGTCTTCAATTACCGGTTGTCTCGTGCTCGGCGCATTGTTGAGAACGCATTCGGAATACTAGCGTCGGTCTTCCGGGTGTTTAGAGCACCTATGCTACTACAACCCGACAAAGTCAGCAAAGTAGCAATGACTTGTGCACTGCTTCACAATTTTTTACGGAGCAGTAAAGACTCTTCTGCTACCTATGCACCGCCAGGCGCTATCGATACGGAGCAAGACGGCACAATTATTTCCGGCACATGGCGAAGCGATGTACAAAATATGACATCTTTCCTACCCCTCAAAAAAATACCAAGAAAAGCTGGTCGTGAGGCTCAGGAAATAAGGAAATTATTTTGTGGCTATTTCAAAACTACTGGAAAGGTTCACTGGCAGGACCGTTACTGTTAAATATTCATTGTACCGTTCCAATATCTTAAAATAAAACAATCTTTCACTCACCTCTGAATTATATGTATTCCTTGCGACTGAAACCCCATGCAGAAAGCTCTCCATTTTCTCGAATGCAAACCAAGTTGGTTTATAAACGTCCTTGCTGCCGGTCCCTGTTTTTGATGATGCCTTAACTTTCCTCCACAATGGTCGAAATGACGCCATCAATGACTCTTTCTTCTTTTTCAAATCGGCAACCGTACATTCGATCGATATTTTATTTTTGATGCGTAGCCAGACATCGTTAATCAAGTTTCTGTTTTTATGTTGTGGATGCGTAGGTTGCCATATAACTGGCTCATTTTCATACAGATCGAGAAATTCAAAAACGACTTCTTGTGACCACTCCATTTCGAAAAACCTCTAGGGGAACACGCACCACGCACACGCAACAGAAGCCAAACACAGACTCAACTGTAGAAATTAATTGCGGCCAAGCCGGCAAGTAGTGGGAGCGCATCGACAAGTATAAACTTGTCAAATACGCAAATAATTGAAAATGCTTTGACTCGCGGTATTTTTACCGACAACCTGCGGGACTTCTCCAGCTGCAAATAATTGTACAAGTAATGGCCGAGTGAACCACTCCCACTACATGGCAAATATAGGCAAGTGACAAATATTTGCCAAATACACGATAATGGGAGTCCGCCTTTAGCCAAGAGAAAATTTCACTTGAGACGGGATTGGAACCCTCGCAGCGCACGGCGATTGATCAGAAGACGAAGCGTCTACCACTGCGGCCACCGCTGCTGCCGGCCTAAGGACCGCATTTTAACGGGAGTCTTCTATGTAAAAATTTTTCCTCGAGGGTGTCACTAAAAAGGTACGGGGTGTTGAAGTTTAAAAATAATAATTAATATCTTCAAAATCGTCAACTGGTATGCATTAGAATTTTTACCCAAGTATTGGCGACATTCAAAACTCTTTACTTAAAATTAACATGCCCCAGTGGCGGAGATACAGGGGATTAGTGGAATTATTTTTCCAAATGAAAATAGTACGTCACCGTTTTTTTAAACGAGCAATTTTTCAAATTTTACCTTCAATTTACTACAAATATTCACACTTGGGCGTTTTTCCTAGAGTGCATTGTTTTCTTAAAAATAAATATAAAACAAATTAGATCATTCATGAAGAGCCGAGATACAATTAGTTTCAAAATAAAATAGGAGGCCTTGATACCAACTTGACGTTTCTTGGGAGATAGTTTGTCAATGTTATGTGTTACACGGTTGTTATCGCTACTACTACCATTTTTTCTTGTTGTAAAAGTCAAGTCAAATATTTCTTTTTTTCATTTTTGAGTGTTGTGAAATGGAATTTAGCAATGATGAGTACGACGATATTATTTTTGTGTACGGTTTCTGTAATTGAAATGCTTTAGCGGCTTCTCGGGAGTATCAACGTAGATTTCCTAACAGATGCCAACCTACCCCAACGGTTTTTACGCGTTCGTTCTAAGACTTTGGCAATATTAAATTGCCAAACTTCCCGGAGCTAGAGGCTGGCATACTGTTCAAGAGGAACTGGAAGTGATTAATTTGGCGTTGGATGATTCTAGTACAAGTACTAGGCCGATTGCAGTCCAGTCACCATGTTCCCAAAGTCTTGCGTGGAGAATTTTAAATCGGGAAGTTTTACATCCTTACCATCGGCAAAACGTGCAAGGTCTGTAACCCGGCGACGAAGTGCATCGGCGAAATTTTTGTGAGTGGTTACTGCAAATGCATAGTCAAAATGCAGATTTTATTGATTTGGTATTGTGGTCAGATGAATCGGTTCTTACGAGTGGAACCTTTAATTCTCATAATGAACATATTTGGTTGTTACAAAATCCTCTTCCTGTAAGAATCCACTTGTTTCAACATATATTTTCTAGAAATGCCTGGTGTGGCATTTTCAATGGCCAACTATTTATGCACGTATTGCCACATCGTTTAAATGCAAACTCGTACTTAGCTTTGCTAGAGAATTACGTAGAAAATGTGTTAGATGATGTTCCGTTAACAACGAGAGTGCGGATGTGGTATCAGCATAACGGTGCCCCACCGCATGTTCGTCGTGACAACCGCATGGTTAAATGATCACTTTAGACAACGATGGATTGCCAGAAATATACCCGTACATGGGCCGGCGAGGTCTCCTGATTTGACACCCCTGGATTTCTTTTTGTTGACGCTTTTAAACTATCAGTGTATGCTCAACAAATTAATACTGTTCATCAGTTACAATGTTCATCTAATTCAAGCCACAAAAAATTTTGTGGAAATACGTTTTTCGTTATTAAAAAATGCCGCACTTGTTTCCGTCAAAATGGTGGTCTTTTAGAACATTTATTAAAGCTTTTATTATCTAATTTGTTTTATTTTTACGAAAACAGTGCACTCTAGGAAAAACATACAAGAGTAATCATTATTTGTACCAAATTGAAGGTCAAATTCGTAAAATTGCGCGTTTCGGAAAAAACAGTAGCGTACTATTTTTATTTGGAAAAATAATTCCACTGAATCTCCGCCACTAGTGATCGTTAATTTTAAGTAAATGCTTTTTAATGTGTACAATCCTGAGGTAAATCAACATACCATACATACCATACCAAATTTTAGTTCATTCCAGTTAACGGTTTGGATGATATTAAGAAAAATTGCTTTTTGTTTTTAAACTTCAACGCCCCGTATCTTCTTAATGAAGCCCTCGAGGATAAAATGTTACATAGAAGACCTCCCTTAAAATGCGGTCCTGTTTAATTTTTGGTCACGACTTGTGAATCACCCTGTATACCTTGAAGAAAATATGGTATTCCATCTTGTTTATCACTGTGTAATAAAGGTGATTGCAGAAAAGGGCATAAATGAAACAAATAATTATTTAATATTTAATTAACGTGTTAGCTTGTACACAAGTTCCTTATCATTTCGAATAGCCTGGACAATGTCTATGTTGCTGAAGAGGTTTCCATCTACATCAATTTCATGTCTAGTCGACTTATAGGTGCTGCCAGCTGAAAAAGGTCAAGTTAAATATATGTTAGTCTGATGCCAAAATGGGAGACAGTAGCAAAACACATAGTACACCACTGCTGGCGCGAAATGCCGGTTGAATACGGTGCAATCCGAGCGGACATACGAGGGTTGATCCAAAAATAATGTTCTCAAAGAGCTCTAGCCGCCCGAGAAGGTGCGAGACGACCTCTGGCACCACCGCTAGACGCGGCTGTTCGCCCATTCTCGATTCCTCCTTTACCGCGCTTCGCTGCGTCAATCATTCTTGGCTCAGCAGCCATCCTATATGGAGGTTCCTATTGTTGATCCCGCAAAATGTAATTTTCGTTCCGTAAGTCGCCTTTTGAACGCCAAAGGTATTCCACCCGTGGTTATTCAACGTCAGTTGTCGGAAGTGTATGACGACAAATGTACATCCGTTCAACACGTCCGATAGTGGCTCGAAGAGTTTAGTGCCGTATCTTCAGTCGTTCCCACAATTCTAGGACGCCTGTATGGACTCCTTCATCTTCATAGTCTTTTCTCTCCTTCAGAAATTCTAGGTTTCTAAATTTCTATTGCTCCGTGTCAGCGTTAGTGTTATGATTTCTTTTTGAATTGCAGGACAATTCACGCCCATAAAACAGATGATACAAATCAAAAGCAGGAACAATTTGATGCACATAGATGTCTGTAGCATAACCTCAAAAAAGAGCGCTGACACGGAACAGTAGAAATCTAGAAATACCCCTGCCTTTCTGAAGTACAGCAAAAACTATGAAAACCAAGGAGGCCTTAAATCCGTCCTCCAACTGTATGAACGACTGACCATACGGCACTTGATTGAGAAAAACACACTGAGTTCTTTGATGAAGGTAACTGTCGAAAAATGAAAGGGATACACTGTCAAGACCTATGTAATTTAATTTAGCAAGTAATAATTTATGATTGATGCTGTCGAAGGCTTTCGAATAATCTATAGAGATTAAGGCTAGTGCCATTTTTTAATCTAAGGCCCGTATCGTCAGTCGTCCCTACAATTGTAGGGCGCCTCTATGGCCTCCTTGATTGTCACAGTTTTCTACTTCTCCGTGTCAGCGCTCTATTTTGAGGTTATATCACAAACATCTATTTGCATCAAATTGTGCTTGCTTTTGAGTTATATAATGTTTTATCAGCATGAAATTTCCTACAATTTAAAAAGAAAACATATCTTCACAACAGGAGAGAGCTGACGCTGACACGGGACAACGTTTCACAAGAAACTAAGGCATTAATCCGAAGAAAAATCCACGAATTTTTGTTTCGAAACGAACCACCCACATTGGACAACATTTTGTTATCAATAAACGATGACGACGACTTACCATACTTCAAAAGATCGACGTTGGCTACATTGATGAAAGAACTTAATTTTCGGTAAGTGTTGTACAAAAAACTTATTTTATTTTTTTATGTATCCTTGAAAGTAAAATACGAAACTAAAAAAATCCGTAAAATGTTCATACATAAAAATAGTTATAGTTTTTTTATGTTTTTTATCATATTTTATGACTAAACTAAACTAGCAATTTTGTTAAGATGAATCACCTGAAATTCGTTATTCGTATAATATGGTTCATTGAATTAACGAATTTAAAGATTTAAAAAAGACAACTTTCAAGATCGCAGATGCAAAGCAGCTTTTTTACACCCCGGTACAAAATGTAACTGCGGAAAATTGGAAAAAAGCAATCGAACATGTTGAGAAGGAGGAAGAAGAAATGTGGACAACTGACCAACGTATGGAAAGGGTGCTTGAACTAGTGATTATTAACTTAGGAAACGATTCAGAATCTTCAGATTATACTGATAGTGATAGCGATTAGTTAATAAATGTAATTTGTATATTTACTGGATAATGACGAAGGACTTATATTCCTAAACATGCTTATATAATTACCATGTAGGTTACCCCAATCCTGTGTTAATCCTGACCGCTAATTTCGAAGGAGCCCTCTGTCCAAGATTTTGACGTTATCAGTTTTGGCTTGACTTCTGGATTGCCGAAATAAACGGTCAGGATTACACATGATTAGAATAATCCACTTTAAAGTCTATCCGGATAGAACCGTGGAAATAAACGTGGTAATGAATGCAGGTAGATTCATTATTAGGTATTATATTAAAAAGATCCAGAATCCAATCTAAAAAAGAATGTAATTTTTTAGCCCTTTTCTTTATTTTTTTCCCATGTGTCAAACTTATTTTTGTAATATAAAAAATATGTCAAGTTAACGAATCATAAACTGGGGCAGCATGTTTAATATATCAATGTAATAACTTTATAGCACTTTGAAAGTAATTAATTTTAAAACTTAGAGGCCACTGGCGATAAAGCATTATCGGTCTTGCGGTGTAAATCCGGTTGCCCTGTCACTTGTTTTATTACTCTGTATGTTCGTTGGATAGATTATAGATCTGAATTGTGGATATATTGAGTTTGGACGTGTTGAACGGACATAAACTTCTCGCCATACATCTTCGTTTACTGACGATGGATATCCACCGGTGGAGTCCCTTTGTCGAGCAAAGACGAATCACGAAACAAATCTCGCAGTTGACGGGATCAATAACGAGCGGCCCAGCGAAGCGCGACCAGGGAGAGTAAAAGGTGGGGAACAGCCACACGGTTCTACTTTCTTCCATTTTGGTACCAAAGTATAATAATGGTAATGATGGCATCTAATACATTTTGGAGAAAATTTAATCTAAAATTTTCGTAGTAAACCAACCCTTCCGGCAAGTTTTAATGACCCTACCAAAATTAATGATTATTTTATGTCTGTTTATAGCTACAAACCTGTTGATTCACTAGTTTGCGAAAACTATTTCAAAAATAAATTAAGCTCTGAATATATTTTTTCATTGAATAAGATTAGTTCAAATGACGTATTACAGGCAATAGGGAGCCTAAAATCTGATGCGAAGGGAATTGATGGTATATCCCTGACAATGATCTAGCTTTGCCTGGCAGTTATTCTCCATCACATCGTCCACCTCTTTAATGACTATTTGGAAAAAGGCTACTTTCCAAACACACGGAAACAAGCTCTAATTATTCCAATTCCTAAAAAAATGAAACCCACTGAGTATAATGATCTCAGACCTATCAGTTTATTATCCATTTTATCCAAAATTTTAGAAAAATTATAAAGTTCCAGTTGACCGCTTACCTAGAAAAATTCTTTATACTTCCCGACACTCAATCCGGACTTAGAAAAAATTATAGTACAACATCTGCCCTACTTAATCTGCAAGACAATATTTTAAGTGCCTTAGATAAGAAAATGGCACTAGCCTTAATCTCTATAGACTATTCGAAAGCCTTCGACAGCATCAATCATAAATTACTACTTGCTAAATTAAATTACATAGGTCTTGACAGTGTAACCCTTTCATTTTTTGGCAGTTACCTTCATCAAAGAACTAAGTGTGTTTTTCTCAATCAAGAAATGTCTCAAGTGACAATAATTCCCTCAGGCGTACCTCAGGGCTCTGTATTGGGGCCGCTTCTGTTCCTCATATATACGTTCGACTTAAGCAAAAGAATTGATAATTCTCATGTCCAGTCATTTGCAGACGATACGCAATTGCTTCATTATATTAACCCAGATAATGTCAATAATACTATTCAAATTTTACAAAACGATGTTAATAAATTAATTAAATACTCTTTAGATCACAATCTACTTATTTATCCACAAAAATCTAAAATGTTATTATTTTGCGCACAAAGAAAAACATACAATGTAACACAGCTCTTGAACATTCAGATAAATAACCAAATCTTGCAATTTTCTGATTCTGCAAAAATTCTTGGTGTTATTTTTCATACAAAATTAAGGTTTACTGAACATGTTGAAAGTCTATCTCAGAAAACCTACCTACGGCTGCGCACTCTTATAGCATACAGGTATTTACTAAATTTTAAGTTGCGTAAAAAACTATGTGAAGCATTGGTCATATCTATACTAAATTATTGTAATATCATATACTATACTTGTTTAGACAATTTCACTAAAAACGTTATTCAAGTTATTCAAAACAATTGTATAGGATTCATTTTTGGCTTACGGAAATTTGATCATGTATCAGCGAAATATCCCGTTCTAAACTGGTTAAAAATTAATGACATGGTCAAGTATCACTATTCAGTTTTTGTTCACAAATTGCTACTCACGTTTAAACCTTATTACTTGAAGGAAAAAATTTCATTTAATAATGATGTTCACTGTAGAACTCTCAGAGAAAATAATATTAGAATACCCCTGCATACGTCTACACTTTTTAAACGCAGCTTTTCTTACAATGTTGCTATTATTTATAATGACCTTCCTAAAGTATATAAAGAATTTTCATTACCTGTTTTTCGACAAAAAGTTAAAACATTATTACTCAACCCTCCAAACATATAATTTACGTAATCATTCATTTCTTTTTTATTCCATCTTTAATTCAGATTAATAATTTTTTTTGGTATATTTGGGTTTGGAAAGTATGCCTTCTTCTCTTTTTTTAAATTTTACTTTCGATGTAATGAACCAAATCTGTTTTTGGATAGTGTATTTTTTTGAACATCTGCTAGTGGCTATATGGTTAAGTGTAAGAGTAGCAGCATGCTAAACTTTGCCATGTAAGTCTGACATTTGGCTATACTACAATGTAATTGTGGATAAATAAAGACGTCTATTACTATTATTATTGTTATTAAAATAACCATAGACTGCTTTTTGCACTTGAGCACTTGAGAATAAGTAACCTATACACTAGGTGGTTCCACCTCGTTAGAAGAAGGACGTTTGCTACCTATGGAGTCCACGCCAGATTGTTTCTGGGAGACATTGTATAGACAAATGCATAAAATACAGGCTAGAAAATTTTGGATCTGAACATTCTTGCCTTGATAAGCAAGCTAAATACGTGCTAATATAAAAGGATATCTAATATAACATGTATCCTTATACATGAAGTCCTCTAAAGCTGGCCAGACATTGGTGTGTGCTTAATTTTGATCCAAAGGAAACCCTCCGGTTTGTTTCGGAATTACCATATCCGTATCTGCATATACATCGGAAGTTCGATATTTTCAAAAAAAGAAAGTTAAGACACAATTTCTTTGCCTCTTTAATTTTGTATGTTTGGATTATCTACTTATCGTTAATCTTCCGTTGCTACTCACAATTTCTTTCGTTATAGATGACTTTATCTACATATATCTTCATATCTTCCGAATCTTGATCGGGATCTTCTGGAACTTCTCTGAAAATTCAAATCGGTGAACTTGTATTATAGGAAACTTTGTTTAGTTTATACAGCGTTTTTATTTGATGCTCCCTCCACATAAATATTTTTTAAGTGGCCCAGGCTAGTATGTCGAAATCCGGGAGGATGTAAATTGAAGCATAATAGCGTAACAGTGACAGTTGAACATTTCAAGTTGGCGACTAGGTGCTATCCTTTTCTTTATACTCCGACCACTACGAAGGCCTAAATACCTGGGTATCATGGAGGTATGGGGGGATACAGGGGAAAGGGGGGACGCCACACGGACCATAGCGAGGGAATACGTGTGCATGCAACATGCACACATTCTGACCCCGTCTACGACCTGCAGATAATCACAAAAAAAATCTTTTGGGACGGGATTTGAACCCGTGAAGCACAGGGCGACTGACCCATAACGTGTACCACTGCGCCTCCGCTGCTGCCTGGTCCTAGATAGTTTTTGAATATGTGGTGTCATGTCAAACATTCATCAAATGGCGGACTGGTGGACTGTCAAGGTGAGCGTCTTTGTACATTGACTCGCTTAGAACCCAACAACCCATTTTCAAAACACTTAAGTATATCAATCATTTTTTTAAGGTCTATCTGAATATGAAGTAAGAAACTATGAATTATTCCATTGAAAAATAACAAGAGTGAGATATTTTTTCACATGAAATGTTAGAGTAGATCCCTAAAAAAGATCATATTATAGTAAACTTTTTTGTTTTGATGATTAGTTATTGAGTTATGAGTGAGTCAATGTACAAAAACACTCAATTTTGACAGACCGTTTGTCCGCCTTTTTTAGATAAGCTACGTACTAAGCCGGGGAAATATTGCAGTTGTTTTAACACGACGGTATGGATGTTTAAAAGTTAAAGGATAATGTATTACTTTTCGAAGGTACTTACTCAAATTTGAGTCCTGTCTCTTCTGTGAAAGTTATATCAACATACAGATGCTTATTTTTATTTTCGTAATCAAAACTGAATCCATCATCATGATAAAGCCTTCCACTAGCGGTATGATTCTGCAAAAAATTCGTTACCAGTTGATTAAATCGACTTTGGAACAGTGATGTAAAACAAGATTCATTAAGATGAAATTTTCATTTATCATTCACTGTGACAGAAAAAAAATAAGGGTGTTTTGAATTTTTATGGCGTCTGCCTTCAGTGTTGTGATTGTAAATGCTGGTTCAATAAACGTAATCAAACATATTATCCAAGAAGGTATTGAACCCTATCAGTGAGGGTTACTTAACTGGAAGGAACCGGCAACCCTAAGTTAAATTAGATTAGCTTTCTAACGGCAAGTTTTACTCTGGGTTTTTAATTTTAAGCCTACTCTTTTTGTCATGTCAGTTCTGAAATGTAGTGGACCCGCGGTAATCCCACAAACGCTTTGCTGGAAGATGTCGGATTATCAAATTTGTGGGACTATAGAGTACTGCCTAAGACCCTCTACAGTGCGGAATTTTTTGAATAAGAATACCTTGTAGTTCGACAAATTACAAATCAAAGAATCTATTTGACTACGAATCATACTACATAATTATGTGTATGTATAATATGTACGAGTATGTGTAATTTATTAAATTGAACATCACAATGGAGAGCGAATAATTTATCATAAAAATAACATCATCAGTGCTATAGAACTTATAAAAAATAATATCGAAACTTATTTTCGTTAGGAAATAATTATGCTTAAATAAATGTACATTATGTACTAAAAATATTAGTGTTTCACACGATACTATGAATAATCAAAAACTAAAAATAGTAGGAATAATATGTAACAATCAGTTTATAAGCTACTAAAAGATTTTTTGTTTTAAGTAGTTGAAGCGCGAGACCCAAGCTTTGCCTTAGTCTTGTCAAAAGTAAAAGTTTGTTGTTGGAACGTATGCCATAACGACCTTTGAGACGTTCTAGCCATCCCTCGCTAGCCACAAAGTCATCTTTTTTTCATTATTTCCTTATGAATGACTTGGCTTTCGTGGCCAACATGGGTCCCGAAATGAGAGCGTGCCTGTTTGTTTCCTGAAGAAACCGCATGTAGAAAGCTTCTTCCACTTCTGGATGTTCATTTTTTAATTGTCAATGTTTTGTGCTTTCGCTTTTGGGCTTGTGAAGACTAGGTTTGTTTATGTAACACACAATGGATCAATAATAAACAACAATGAATGCTTTAGCGGCCTAGCTATTACATGTATGCAGTCAAACAGAAACTGAAACAATACGAGCCCTAACACAAAATAATTCTGACATTATGTAATTTTATCTTAAAGCTCGTTTATTTTTTTAATTTTAAATAAATGTTTTCGTTTATAATACATTGCAATATATTGTTTGGACATCATATTAACAAAATTATTATCAAGTAACATGATATATATACAGGATGACTTCGAAGTTGAGTCATTTATTTTAACAGTGAGTAGATCTGATCAAAAGAAATGTTTTTTTCCTTTACCATTTTTCTGGTAAAATTAAAGTAACAAAGTTATAGCCCTTTGGAAGTTTGAGTACCGCCCTGTCTCAATAATCATATTATGTGCTCGTGTTTGGCAACAACGGATATAATTCGCCTTATCGGTTCATCGCATCGGAAACAAAAAAGCGAAAGAATTTGGAAAGATCTTTTAACAATTATTTTATTTAGTTGTATACAGTCAGTGTCAGTCGGTAACGCGTGAGTAAATAGTTGTGTCTGTTGCGTGGCTCAAACGAAATCAAAAATGGCACATGTTTACGAAAATGCTGAACTGGTGGACATGATTATTATTTACGCGGCAACACGGATTTATGCGGATCGGTTTCCCAATCGAGTGCAACCAACCCCTCGTGCCTTTGTTAATGTAGTACAAAGGGCTCGTGAATCAGGTGACTTAAGACCTCACAGGGGAGGGAATGCCGGTGCTCCAAGACCGCACGATCAAATACAGGTCCGCACTGAAATACTTGTCGGGAGGATACTTTATAAAACAAGGTAACATTTTTTTTAATTTTTTTTTATTTTTACACACATATTTTGGTTTATCTTCCTTCTACAATCATTATCTGAAAATTAATGACTCAACTTCAAAGTCACCCTGTATATATATATATATATATATAATGTGTTTGGTCCCGACATACCGATATTTAAGGGTGGTATTTTTCAGCTATTTTGATCGACAAATCCACCCCCCTACAATGTCCTACCTCACCCCCTTGAAATGGCAGCCATTTGTATTTTTACGTTACGATTACGCTAGTGCGTGTATGAAAATTGTAATAACTCAGAACATAAGAGTCACAGAATGATAAATTTGGTGTCATTTGAACGATAACACGTTGTTCAAGTGATTATTGAAAAACCGTCAAACATACTTAAAAATAGGCAAAAACAGAAAAACATATGCAAGAAAATTGATTATTTTGTGCATTTCCGCACACCATTCAAAAACTAGTTTGTGAAGTTGTACTTTTTTGTGCTAATTCTACAGCTAACTATGTTATCTACTAAATGACACCAAAATTACTTCTACGTTAAGTAATAAATGCTATCTAACAGGGGTCAAAGTATACATGAAAATGACAAATGAAAGTTTCTTATAAATAGTTTGGACATATTTAATGTTACAGAAGCTGTTCAAAATGCTCTCCATTATTGGTTATGCACATTGTAATTCTTAAAACAATGTGCCGTGTTGAGCAGCGTGTCATATCCGTGTCTAATTTCGTTTACAGCGGTATGGATTGCGTCCCAGAAAAAATAATCTAGGGGCGTTAAATCGGGTGATCGGGGTGGCCTAAGCGACAGTGCCTCTACGTCCTATCCATGGAGAATTTTGCCTATCCAAATGTTCTAGCGCAAAAGCGTGTGGGAGCTCCAACCATATGTTGCGGCGGTTGATAAGTGGCGTAGATCTGAAAACTCGGTACTCAAGAAGTCCAAAAATCCCTGGCCATCTAACCTTGGAGGTAGCTCAACTGGGTCGACTAAAATTCCGTCGATTATTCGGGCCAAAAGGTTTACATCAAATTCCTGTTGGAAAGTGCTCAGTCGAACTGTGTGAGCGGTTTCCGACGACCACAAGTGGTGGTTTCTATGGTTTATGATCCCCTGCCTCGTAAATTTTGCTTCGTCCGTCCATATAATTTTTTGTGACATTGAACTATTTATTTTTAGAAACAATATAATACTTTTAGGTGATTTTAATTTGAATTATTATGGTAAAAGCATGAAAACAAGAAAATTGAAAGAAACCATAAACAACTATGGGTTCAAGCAAAAAATTGAAGAGAGTACCAGAATAACATCATTATCAGAGACTTTGTTAGATCTTGTTATTGTAAATTTCGAATGTGCAGGGATTAAAGCTGTACATACACCTTAAGTTAGCGATCACAGTTGGACAATGCTGCCCTTGGTAGGGCATTTTTCTGATACAAAAATTAAGAAAATCGTAAATACTATTAAGTACGAAAAACTTGAACGAGAACTTGCTGGCTGCTATCGGAATTTTGGTGAGAATATGGAAAAAATATATGACAACATAATAGGAAATATAAAAACTTGTTTAGATCTTGCAACTGATAAAAAACTGATTTGCTCGACAAAAAATACACCCTGGTATAACAAGAATATTAAGGTAGCTCAAAATTTGAGAGACAAACAATACAATAAATGTATATTCACAAAATCAAATGATGATTGGGAGGTATATAAAACTCTTAGGAATAAATGTGTATGTGTAATTAGAGAAGAAAAAAGAAAATTCTACGATAAACAAATCGATAATAACAAGTGCGACAGTGTAAAGATGTGGAAGACTTTAAAAAGACTGATTAATTCGAAGCCGCATGATTGTGTAAATCAAGTTCAATTCGAAAACGGTACCGAAACAAATTCTTTGGTGATTGCAAACAAACTAAATGAATATTTTGTGGAAAGTGTTGTTGATATTGTAGGTACTGCCAATGCTGCACCTGACTATATGAAAATCAGTTTCCAGGGGGAAATGTTGCATACACTTTCAAAATTTCACAGCGTATCATTGAATTATCTAAGAAAAAAAGTAAACAGTTTAAAATCAAATAACAACTGTGCCGAAATGACTACTAAAAACGTGCTGAAAAACTGTTTCGACATTTTGGGATATCCTGTATTAAATTGGATCAATTGTTCACTGAGAAGCAGTTCTTTCCCTGAAAATTTGAAATGCTCTACAATAACACCAATTCCCAAAATAAAAAATTCTAAAAGATGCAGCGATATGAGACCAGTAAATGTGTTACCAGACATTGAAAAATTATTAGAGTCCATAGTACATGACCAATTAATGCAGTTTATAGAAGAAAACAAAATTTTAGTGGAGGCGCAAGCAGGCTTTCGAAAAAAATATTCCACAGAAACAGCTTTCCAGTTGGTAACTGAGAATTGGAAAAATGCCATAGACTCAGAAGAAGTTGTCATAGCAGTATTTTTGGATTTGAAGAGGGCATTTGAAACGATTGATAGAGATATTTTGTTAGGTAAATTGAAGGCATATGGTATAACAGGAAGTGTTTTAGATTGGTTTAGAAATTATTTGTCTAAAAGGATGCAAGTTACAAAAGTTAATGACACTATTTCATCAAAAATTGAAAATACGTTGGGTGTTCCACAGGGCAGTATCCTGGGACCACTTCTTTTTATTTTATACATAAATGATTTACCTGCCATAGTCAAAAAATGCAAAATTCAAATTTTCGCCGATGACACTATGATTTATATAAGTACTAAAAATATTCAGTCTGGTATCTCTTATATGTATAAATGAAGACTTGAAGCTTGTCTCAAAATGGTTAGCATCTAACAGAGTAAAATTAAATGCAAGTAAAACGAAAGCCTTGTTAATCGGAAAAAAAACAATGTACAAATGTTCAACTGAATATTGATGGTGAAGATATTGAATTCGTAGAAAATTTTAAATACCTGGGAGTTTTTGTTGACTCTCGATTAATTTTTGATATTCATTATGAAAAAGTTATAAATAAGATTAGTAGTAAAGTGGGATATTTATCGAGAGTTTCTGGATGTCTGAGTTCATATAGCAGAAAAATTATCTATAATACCATCATTCTTCCAAATTTCTTGTACTGTTCGACTATTCTATATTTAGCAAATAATTCCATTTTTGAAAGACTGCAAATTTTACAAAATAAGTGCATGAGAATAATACTAAATAAAGATAAATATACTCCAATTAGGCAAATGCTTAGCAAATTGAAATGGCTCAATGTAAAAATTTTTATCAAATATCTTGTAATGATATTCATTTATAAAGTAAAAAATAATATATTTCCATCAAGTCTAACTAATTTAACATCATCAAATGTCGACCATCATTTACATAATACCAGAAATAAAGATGACTTCCATTTAATGACCAAAAAGTATAACATATGCTACAAATCTGTATTCCATCAAGGGTTGATTGAATATAATAAATTATACTCTGAGATAAAAGACCAGAAAACTTTGACAAAATTTAAAGTAAAATTGAGAATTCACTTGTTAAATCTACAATTATAGGTTGCCCAGCATTTACATCATACACCATATGGCTTGAATTTACTAGTTCTAAGTTGTTTACAATTGTTCTGTTTATGTAGCCAAATGTGCTAAATAAATCTTTCTACTACTACTACTACTACTACTATAAGAAACTTTGATTTGTCATTTTTATATATACTTTGATCCATGTTAGATAGCATTTATTACTTACCGTAGAAGACTTAGGATAACAAATTTGGTGTCATTTTGTAGATAACATAGTTAAAACAGTACAACTTCATAAACTAGTTTTTGAATGGTGTGCGGAAATACACAAAATAATCAATTTTCTTGCATATTTTTTTTAGGTTTTGTCTGTTTTTAAGTATGTTTGACGGTTAGTATCAATACAAGTTTTTCAACAATCGCCAGAACAACATGCTATTGTTCAATTGACACAAAACTTATCATTCTGTGACACTTATGTTCTCAGTTATTAGCGTAATCGTAACGTAAAAATAAAAATGGTTGCCATTTCATGAGGGGTGAGGTAGTAGATTGTAGGGGGGTGGATTTGTCGAAAAAAAAATAGCTGAAAAATACCCCCCTCAAATATCGGTATGTCGTGACCGAACACATTGTATATATATTAAACTATAAAAATAAACTAATATTGATAACAACGCAATATTTGGCTGACACACAAACCGTTTCAATAGCTCGTCTCCCTTTGCCTTAATAACAGAATTAATTCTGGCTTGCATAGTTTTAAAAAGGTTTTCAGAGTCTTCCGCGTTAAAAGAATCCCATATATTTTGTAATTTTACTCGTAAACCAGAAATGTTTCGTTGTGGATCATTTCTTAACTGCTGCTTCATTTTGCGCCATACAGTTCCGAATTCAATTCACGAGTGGAAGGCCACTCAAAGAAGGACATATTACTGTCCTGCAACCATTTTTTCGTAGTTTTGGCCGTATGACATGACGCTCCATCTTGTTGGAAAAATAAAGTTTCTATCAGGTGATAAAATTGGAATTGACACTAGCAAATTGATTTCAAGGATATTTTGATATTTAGCTGCGTTTACAGTTCCGTCTATGAAGTGAAGTTTTCCATCGCCAGAAGCAGATATGCTTCGCCATACCATTAAACCTGCTGGAAACTTTACTTTTCTCTTTAGGCAGTCTTTATGAAACGCTTCATTTTTGTTTCTTAGAATCTGGAATCGGTGGTCACCCACACAAACATAGAATTTCGATGCATAGCTAAAAATGATCTTCCAGTCTTCGTAAGTCCACATTCCGTCTTTCCGTAATCAACGGCTTGCCTTAAATGCAATCTACGTACCGTATAAAAACGTAAACCAGACTTGAATCCACCGACGGCACATTTCTCGTGAAACATTGCCTGCTGTTTCTTCATTCCAGTTTGCTGTTTTATCCCTTACATTACCTTGACGACTAAATACGAACAAGAGATCTTTGCATTCTAGGACTGATCTTACGTGGCCTACCAACACCGTGTCTTGAAACATGAGTTGAATCTGTGTCTCCATACTTTTTTACAATATCTTCCACCGTAAACTTTGCGACATTTATTTGTTTAGCAACATCCCGAAAACTCTGTCCTTGACGAAACAATTTTATGGTTAAAACTCTGATTGCACCGTTTGTTGCTTTACCACGCGACATTTTGAAGCAAATTGATTCACAGAATTGATTCTTAAATCAAAACGGCCACTTGTAGCAAAATGTTGCGTCGTTACCAATATTAGTTTGATATCATATTTGAATATAATTATTTCATCACCTGAAAACAGTCTTGTTAATATGATGTACAAGCAATATATTTCATTGTTCTATAAAAGATAAACAATTAATTTATATCCTTACAAAAATAAACAAGCTTTTAGATAAAGTTAGATGATGTCCGGACATTTTTGTGTTAGGGGTCGTAGAGTAGCACAATAGTAGTGGCGCGTGGAAGTTACAACTTGTACAATCATGCATTAGATTAGTGAAGATTTGCAGAAATTTTTATGTAGGTACAGTCAACAACTATAGGCGTGTCGGATTAGATAGGGTCCGTATTACCGTGGGCCCACTGGATAGGGACATTTCTAAGTATTGCCAATATTGCGAGAAAATCTGGTTCGGCGTTAAAAATTTATGATATGAGATTGACTTGAATTTTGACATCTAGTACTTGCTTTGTGTTCTGTTATTTGTTTTCTATTATCGGTTGTATGTTTGATTGTATTTGAAATATTGGATTTTGAAAATATTTTTCACTGTGCTTATTAACAAGACTCATCATCAGAATTGCACACAAAGGCCTACAAAGCACCCTGATAATTTAAAAAACACTCCAGGTTACTGAAGCATACGGCCATCTATTCTTGAAGAGAACAGAGAAAAGTAAACAAAACATGATGACTTGGTGAATCTTTCCGCACGTTTCAAAGTGATGTAATAAATAACATTTCAGCTTGTCAAGATTATCTTTGCATAACCTTAATCACAAGCGAAAACAAAACAGCACAAATGACAGTTATAAAAAAATCATAAAACAACCTTGCGTTTTTATCTTATCACTTATCTTATCACTGACTTTAACAACCAGTACATGTGAGAAGTAGGTATATTTACCTGAGGGTTAAACCTTAACTCAGGGGTAATTATGACGGTGAAAGGACTAATTTTAACCCACACTATAACTCGAACCGGTGCAAACCACTGTATGCTACAGTTTTATGCTGTATTTGGACGTTCACACATAATTTCCATCGTTGCCAAGTATACTGAGTTACAAAAAAAGCTAAACACCTATGTATGTTTATCCGATTTTAATAATTTTTGGCATATATGTTCAGTGTCTCTTAATAGTAAAATAATTAAATTTTCAGCTTAATTCGTCAACTGACTGCACATAATGGTTCAATAATGTATTGAGGATCCACGATTTCAATCGGAGAAAGGCTAGGCGATCGTGGTGGCCAAGGTAAACGGTTGATGCGATGTTGATCCATGAAGGCTAACGATGCCCTGGCAACATGCGGTCTGGCATTGTCTTGCTGAAAAATCGGGTTTTGGATTGTGTTTAGGTATTTATACATCTTGCATATAGCGTCGGGGTGCCATATTGCCTCTGATGAAAATTAGTGATGATCTGCTAGCAGAAGCAATAGCACCCCATACCATAACTCCCAAGGTGTGGTGAACGTGATACTCTCTGTGTGTGTGAGACACGTCCACACAGCCCGAGGCATGCGAGACGAACCATTTGCCACGCACGCCTCGCGATGTCTGTATGCGGCTTTAGAGTGGTACTATCAGATAATGAGTGAATGTTGTTGTTGGCGATTCTCCCAGAGTGCCCAAGGTGACCACGGATTTGACCTTGACTTTTTAGGGTGGTGCACCCTATTTTTCACCGGGGAAATGGGAGAAGAGAGTGATCCATTTACATGTGGCCCTTCAGCACTTCGGAGGCACGGAATTTAAGAGTCATAACTTGGAGGCCCCTCCCTCATCTTCTATACGGAACTCAGAAGCCCCTCAGTTGATGGATGTACGATATTATTACAAGCCAGTTTCTGCCCGTGAGCTGAAAAAAATCGCCCACCATGAATTTGTTCCTCCTGGACAAACCGTCAACGCCAAATTTTACGTGGAAGTGCTCAAGAGACTCAAACGAAGGGTCAGTCGGGTCCGACAAGACATCGCAGCCGACTGGAAGTTGCACCACGACAACGCCCCGGCTCACACCGCCTTTCTTGTGAACAGCTATCTGACCAAGGCCGGCATCCCAACGCTTCCGCAGCCGCCCTACAGCCCAGATGTGGCCCCCCGGACTTTTTTTTGTTTCCTCGCCTGAAAAGGCCGATGAAAGGCAAGCATTTTGAGACGACAGAGGGTATCCAAGCAGCATGCACCGCGGCTCTCAAGGCTATTCCGGAAAATGCCTTCCGTGACGCCTTCAATGCTTAGAAATCGCGCTGGCAGCGCTGCATCGACGCAGAAGGAGCCTATTTTGAAAGTTTTTAAAGAATGGTAACGATTGGCTTAATAATTTTTTTAAATCGACTCAGTCCTATTACTTTCCGGACAAACCCTGTATTATTGTTTTCATGCAGGCGCGGCCCTTAATTGGATTGGTTACCTTCTGGTGGAATATCTGAATGAATGTTTGAAGATATATATGTTAACCGTAGCCGCATTGCTTGTTATGATTTGGACATATATTTTATTTATTACCTTATCATCCTTACAATTGACATATAGTGTAATCCTAGGTGACCGCACAGTCTCTGCAGTAGAGCTTACATCATAATCCCAGAGTACTACAATACTGCCTGCTCTATAGAACACTGGCGACTGTAAAGAAATAATAATGTTAATTACAAATAAAGAAACCTTAAAGAATATCATTGTCTTAAGAGCGGTATTAAATGTTATGTATGGATATCGCGAGTTTTTTATGTCCACGAAATCTATAGAATTATCTCGGGATTCAAGACAAAGGATCAGAACAGGAAGGATCTGTTGCGCATAGTAATTTTTTTGAGGAAAGTTGTCCTAGAACAAACTACTAAGCGCATACCTGTCAAAAAGTCCGTTAACCATATCCTTGAATAGGTAAAATGTATAGTTGCCTTGGCGTTGCCAGTTTCACCTATCATTTAATTCTGAGCGGAACTGCATCAAAAGATGTTACAACCGAAAATATGCAAACAAAGGTGACCTAGTTTCCGGTCAATTTAGTTTTCCACTGAAATTAATTATAACCAAATGGAAGTACTCAAAAAGGTGCCACACATTAAACTAAGATTACTTGAACAAAAAAATGAGTCTGATAATACATACGGCATTTAAAGCCATAGAATATGATTTACTCAACCGTAACCCAATCTATGTAAAAAGGGAAGAAATTTCTGTTAGCACAGCATGTGAGAGACGTTGGAAAGCTTAAGACAAACAGTAAATGCTACTCAACAAGAGCTCATAAGATAAATATCTGTGACAGAAACTCCCTAGAAAGCATCAGTAAATGTATGTATCTACTTAATGAAACTATATTTTTAAGTTAGCTTCACGACAATCTACATTAGTTTTTTAATGTTTATTCCGTCGTAATCTTTGCACACAGTGTAGTAAAAATAAAATATATTCACTAATAGATAAGCTCCTGTCATTTACTTTCGAAAATGACCCTATCCCTAAGAATCAGCATGGATTTCTCCCTGGTCGATCAATAATGACCAACCTTCTCCGCTCTCTCAACGATTGGACTCAGTATCTGGACACAAAGAATCCTGTTGATATAATCTACTTAGATTTTTCTAGGGCTTTCGATCGCGTACCACATAGAAGGCTTCTGTTTAAGTTGGAATGTATGGGAATAAGAGGCGAGTTGTTACTGTGGATTAAGGCTTTTCTCTCCGGGAGGACTTTCTCTGTGCGCGTCAGTGATAGCCAGTCTCACCTTCATCATGTAGAAAGTGGAGTTCCTCAAGGCTCTGTCTTGGGGCCAGTGCTGTTCCTCCTGTATACAAGTGACCTGCCCGCATTGATTTCCTCCACATGTTCAGCTTATGCCGACGACACCAAGATTTACAATACTGTCGTAAATTCTGCTATGCTTCAACGAGATCTTGATATTGTTTGTCAATAGTCAGTCAGTTAGCTTTTACCCTTAAATCTAACTAAGTGTTGTGTCCTTCACCTCGGGAAGACAAATCCGCGATTTACATACAAGATCTCTGACCACAACATCGAAGCAGTTTCCAGCCACACTGATCTGGGCGTTGTAGTCAACGATCGTCTTTCCTGGTCAGAGCATATTCACCACGTTACATCAAAAGCCAAGAAACTTCTATACATGCTGGAGAGGTCTTTCAAAGGATCCGATGTCAACACTTGCGCCTACATTTACAAGGCATTCGTGAGGCCAATTCTTGAATTCGCTGGCCCGGTATGGGACACTGTGCTTCTGCGCGATAGAAATCTCGTCGAATCAGTACAGCGTCGGGCTACTCGTATCCCTTTTGGAGCACGAAGACCAAACTATGAAGATCGCCTTGAATTATTCAACCTGACCTCATTCTCTGAGCGAAGACTTCGTGGCGATCTTATAGTTACGTTCAGGATACTTCATGGTTTGATGAGCACCAACCTCATGCATCTATACCGTCTGTCGCGCAGCAATCTACGCGGACACAGCTTCAAACTGCATAAGGAGCCATTTAAAACAACAGTCCGACAGTGGTTTCTTCCCAACCGCATATTCAACACCTGGAATAGTTTACCTGAAAGTGTGGTTGGTGCTACTTCAGTTAATAGCTTCAAAGTGCAGTATGATAGCTGGAGGAGTGTGCAAACTTTATAGCTATGAACTGTCTTTTTTTATTTTTTCTATTTGATGTAATTGTGTTACGTGTCCGTACACTATATTTACTGCATGAGCTTATAGTACTGTGTACTCTGCTCATCTCAATTATCATAATAATAATAATAATAATATCATACTAGGTTATATTACTTATATTTCTCATTTACGTCAGTTAATCATTTATTTCTTTTCCATGTTGCTGTACGGAACATATAAAGTTTGCACGTACTGTTTTCCATTGTTTTTACAAATTATAACGCATATTGTGACCCATTTGTGAGAATTTGAACGTTTTCACTATTTAAGAAATCTGCCACATTGCGCCCTGTGATTTAACGATGCCCATCACCCACTTCGCACATAGCGCATAGTTGTAAGCTTGAGTGCGAGTAGGTAACTACTGCCACCTACCAGTAGTTCGACAAAGCTTAGTACAACATCCAGCCCTTACGGAATCTCTGCAAGATGAACGGAAAAATGTCGCCTAACCGTCGTAGGTGACTTGTCAGTCAGCGGAACACAGTATCCACCCTGCTACCAGCTGAATGCTGAATATGATCTATGTGTTTTTCTTCATCTCTGTCTATTAGGTACGACTTAACTATATGAGCCCGCGAGGTGTCTCAGGGCATCGGCTTGATAAGGAACCTCCAAATATCAAAAAATTAACGTCTGAGTAGCTCCCGCTCTCCAATGTGCTTGCTTGAAGAGACACAGCCTTCCTTTGAAATGGAGATATTTTGGATATGGATATGTTAGTCAATAATATAAGTATGCATTTTTACATCGATACTCGTTTGGGAGCATATATGTAGTTATTTTACATCGCTAGTAGATATGGCCTACCCAAAGGATGACTGGAGCGACCATCTACTGCTGAATATCTGAATCTGATGTGTAGAAACTTAGGCAGGAGCTAGAGCCCCTAACAATAACAAAATGCCACAGTGACGATAACAGTCAGCTATGTGTGTCAGTGTCAAAAACGGCATTTCGGCGGAGGTAATCACCTGTAAATTCTCCTAGTACAAGGATGAAAGGGGTTTTACTGTTCTAGATACAGGAAGAGTTTTTAATGTCCAATTACTCGGCGGTTCACAAGTCGTGACCAAAAATAAAACATCATACACAGGATCGCATTTTTAGGAGGTCTTCTATGTAACATTTTTTCTTCGAGGGCTTTATTAAAAAGATACGGGGCGTTGAAGTTTGAAAATCAAAAACAATTTTCTTTAATATCTTCGGTTTTGAAATTGGTTTTTATTTTTAAGCTTCAAACCTTCAAGGAAATAATGTTACATAGAAGATCCCCCTTAAAATGCGGTCCTATGTATGATGTTTCATTTTTCGTCACGACTTGTGTGGCGCCAGGCATACATTTTTTAAATTGAATATCTTATATATTTTAGTATACGTATATTTTTTAATGTCTTTCCATGTTTGATATAAGGCTTGCGCTGCTACTTCTGGTGCTGCCGAATATTTTGAAGGATAAAACACTGAAGTTCGACAGCTTGTAGTCACTTTTGCAGATAAAATAGCAAACTTTTTGATAAAATGATAAAATTGTCACGTAATTGTGAGTCACCCTGTAGAGAACTGCATATTTCCAAGTAACGAGCGCATGGTTGCCTGAAGTTTTTATAAATAAGTTTTTTTAGATATTCAAAATGTCGGACCTATCGACCGATTACACATTAAAAACTCGTCCTGTATGTAGAAGCATCTTAGTTGAGAAGTCGTTGTCAGAAGTGTCAGGTTAGATTACGTTGGCTGTCACTTTGTTGGTGGTTTACTGGTGTTTCTAATAGTGTTTACATTAGAAATGCAACAGATTAAGAATATAGCAGCAGCGAAGAATACGTAGCAACATTTTTCTGTTTATTGTAACCATGGTAGTCTTCCACAGTTACAAATTTATCGCAGATGTCTTTCATAAATTTTCATGTTTTCTTCTTTTCTTGTTGGACAGACGCCTATTTATTATTGATTCATACAAACTAGACTAGATGATATCGAAATATTATAATGTTTAAGGTTACAAATAATATCTGTGGTCGCTGGCTTGGAGCGCGGCAACGACAACACCGGCTAGGACTACCAAACAGAAAACACTAAAACCTGTTTCATCGTTGTACTAAAAATAAATTACATGCGATTTTTTCCGGCGAAATGGCGGCCGTTTTTGACACTATCATGATACTTACCTAGCTGTTTGTTATCTAAAGCTGTGACGACGCTTTCAACAATTTCACGTGTCACCTTCACAACAAAAATACTGGTCTTCTTTTTATAGAAAATTCTATATTTCTTAAGAAATTTTAAAAAGTTATCAAGTAAAAGCTATGCTTACCGTATTAGCATCTACATAAGGTATTATTTCGGTGGTTCCAGCTATTATAATTTTGGATGATTTGTCATCGACTCTGTACCAAAAATCTGGCGGGTTTCCTGGCAGATGTACTTCTATGGTCTTAGTTTCGTTACTTGGTTCGAACACCGGTCTTGCCAGTATGTCTCTACCTAAAATTGTACAAAACAACCTTCCTGCAACATTCCAACAGAAGCTAGGGCGCCGCTTCTGAATATTCCATCCTACTACGGATGACTATTAGACTATAACAGTGTGGGAAAGCTATTGAGCATTAAGATCCGACATTTTCTAGCATCTTATGTACCTGTTTGTTTCATGAATTACTTCTCGGATAAAATGTTATATTTAGCAATACATCCGTCAATTCTTCCTTTAAATATATTTTCAAAAATTTTTGTTACATACGAAATTATAGAAGTTGGTCTGAAGTTGACAGGTGTAATAAATGCTGTTTTGAAGTTGCTGGGGCATATGAAAGTTCTAAATATCCAGTTAATGATAAATGTTAATGACGGCTATCTATTTTGCAATTAGTTTGTGTTTCTGCTCATATATTATATTTTCCCTGTGTCTTTTGTTTTTTAAAGGCATCGTAGTTTCTATAACTTCAATTTAATTTGTATTTTCTAAAATCAGCTAGTTACTTGAGTTAACTTGTGTGTGCTATTTTAATTTTGTTTTTTCTATTATATTGAGTGCTAAATTCTGTCCCATGTTTGTGAAATAAGTAATTAATAAATTGGTTCGCAATTTCACATCTATCCGTAATTGTAATTCCGTGTTCAGCTTTGATTTCTTGTATATCATTTTCTTGATTGAATTTGAATGTTTGCCCTTGTTACTTATTTTATCCTGTTTATATTTCTTTTCTGCCTTGATAATTATGTCATTAATTGATTTCGTGATCTTTTATAGTTTCCTATATTTATTGGACTCGGATTTATATTATACACATTGTTTCATACCAGTCATCTTCTTGCTTTTTTTTTGTCGTACTATAAATGTTATCTCATGATTCATAAGCTTAAATGTTGAAGTCAATTCTAGATATCTTCAGCAGTATATTAATTTACTTTTCATCATGTGCAATACACCCTTTCCCTTCTGAACACTTACCTAACATGATATGATCGTTCCGATTCACTGTGCCAGGATAGTGATAGAAGAGTGGTCTGATTACAGGTGCCCCAGTCAGTGTATGTTCATAGAAGAGAGTGTACCATGTTGGTATATATTTATATCTCATTCGTATTGCGTTTCGTATAATTTCTTGCACCTCTGGTTCATACCTGTAGGGTTCTCTTGGCTTTGCGTCCTTGTGGGCATGTCCTCTGAAGAATGGCAACCAGATGCCAGCCTTTGGTGATATAAGTTGAATAAGTACTGGAATAGTTCAGGTTTATAGTGAGTGGATTAATCCGTGATCCACTACTGGGACCTTATTTCCACTACAAACACCTTACAGCCCTATATTCGATTAAGATATCTTTATTGATTAGTGCTGTATGATCTCCTACTTATTTACACCTATACAGGGTGTTTGGAAGGTCAATAGAAAGTTTTGGGGCGGTGATAGGGCAGACCATTTAGAATCTTTTAAGCCAAAAATACACAAAATACTAGTCTACTAAAGTCTTACGGTTTTCGAGTGATTGAAAAAAATATGCCTTTTATTCCTGTTATCACTGAAAGAACGTCAGTCTATAGTAAATAGTTTGTAACGGCCTGACAGTGTGTTTTTTTTCTCCGAAGGCAGTAAAAAGAAAGAGAATTTGACTGTAAACAAAAAATAAATACATGATTTCCTGTTTTTGTGATACTGATAAGAAGGAACGTGTTTGCGTGCATGATAAAACTAAACTCCACACATTCTTGCTTTATTCCTTTCCAAACAAGTCCATAGTAATCCATGAATTTCAGAATACGCACATATCGTTTACATGAATGGCAGAGCAGATGGATTATAAGCACGACGGTTGTACCAAGAGCGATTTCCTGGGCCTAATGCGTGTTTTACAATACTTATCGACGTCTTTACGAGACTGGAAGTGTAACACGTAATGAACCTGGTGTTAATCCAGGTCGATATCCTGCTGAAGGCGAAAATCTAATCCTCCAAGCGTTTGAAGACGATCCCACTACAAGTACTAGGAAAGTTGCTGCTGATCTTGGTTTGTCGCAAAGGCAGGTGAACGAAAATATCCTTTTCGTGATATCGGCGTACAAGGACTTGAAGATGGTGATCCTATTGGCAGAAGCCAATTTTGTCGTTTTCCCTTACATAGTGACATTGAGAGTGAACGGTCCCTGGGAAGCATTCTATGGACGGACGGATTAGAAATTTTGACAATTTGCATCAATAGGCTGGAAAAAGCAGGTGTCTTTCCAGCACAAATTTTCCGTTAATGTATGAGCCGCCGTCGTAGGACAAAGATTAATCGGTCCTCAATTTTTGCCTGAAAGATTAAACGGTGACAGTTATCTACACTTATTGCAAAATGATCTTCCCGAATTACTTGTAGGAGTAGAAATGCCAGATGGCATGCAAATTATTTTCCAACACGACGGATGTCCAGCTCATTTCCGTTTTGACGTAACACAATATTTGGACGATACTTTTCCAAATAGCTCGATAGGTGGACCAATTCCGTGGCCTGCTAGATCCCGGGACTTGATACCATTGGATTTCTATGTCTGGGGGCGCTCTAAACAGTTAGTTTACACTGAAGAAATCGTGGCAAGAGACCATTTAATAAGAAAAATTTGAGAAGCTTTTTATTTAATGCAGCAAGACAGGTTATTAAATTACCGAAACTACCGAAGTAACACGTAGAGTTCGAGCATGTATTAGAAACAATGGTTCTCACTTTGAACACCAATAAGGCATGTTTCAATAGTTTATTTTATGTCGTTTACTAGTTTGTTTATGTTTATGATTTAAATTTGAAAATCCGAATATCCCGAAAACCGTAAGACTTTGTACTGAGGTATGTTTGGTTTAAAAGACTCTAAATGGTCTGCCCTATCCCCAAGGCTTTGTATCGACCTACCAAACACCTTGTTTATGGCAAGAATGAAAATGAATTATGACAAAATTATTTTCAAATCAGTGAGCACCTACAGTGCCTCATTATTTGATGGAATTCAGCAAAACAACCTTTGTTCTGCTTGATACAATGACCCACATTGTAAGTCGAACGTCTCCATAAGGTGTGTATGATTATAACTTCTATTCGCATCACTTCATCGCTTATGAGCTTAAATCGTAGGCAACCGGCAATTATCGTGGTAAGGTCAGAGTACCATGAGCAGCCAAGTAAATTCACTATGAATTAATTCGTAGTCATAGTCATCCTAGAAGACCATCCGACCACAAATGGTTTATTGGTGTTTGGCTTACATGATAAGCTCTGTAGGCAAATTCGGCTTAGACATTTTTATTGATTAACGTTGTATAATTTCCTACTTAGTAACACCAGCATAACATATGGCAAGAATGAACATGAATTTGTTTTGCTCGTCCCACTATGCAAGTTGAACGTTTCCATAAGGAGTGTATGACAATAACTACTATACCCAACAGCTAAGCTATCTTGTTGGCTATCATTTCATCGCTTATGAAAATCTTAAATCATAAACAAGAAATTATCGCGGTAAGACCCTTAGGTCACAAAGAGTTAATTGGTATAATGGCTTACCTGGTAAGCTCTGTAGGAAAATTCTGGATCCGGGTCGCCGAAAAATCCAGGAACGTCGGCCCCGCAAAAGACATGGCCCATCAAGTTGGAGAGCATACATTCGGAATAGCTGTTCTTTAAATGTGGCCAATCTGCTCTGTTATCTCCAGTCCACATGGCTGCAAATCTTTGTGAACCAGCGAAATGTGACCTAGTTAAGATAAAGGGGCGAGTACCATTTTTATCTCTGTTGATTAGGCCTTCATGGGTAGCCATCGTCTGGAGCAAAAAGATAAACTCAGAGCACACAAGGGCAAGGTTGATCTAAGTAAGTCTAAAATCTTCGAATCCTAGGCAACCAAAGCACCTCTCCCTTTAACTATTTACCCTCCCATTCTTTCCTTCATTACTTCTTTGTTTTCCCTTTATTTCTCCTCGATTCCTAGTTGCGACTATGTAGATTAATAAAATGTCATTGAAATACTATAGTTTATGAAACAGTAGTGTTTTTTTTAAATACTTTTGCCAATCTTTGTAACAGAACGATCCCTATGAGACCAATCTCAATTTCGAGGGTGTTATCCTGTCATAGTGGTCTTTCCTAAACGTTGGAATTGCTTTCCTGATGGAAGGTGGGTCAACAATTTAGGTCAATAATGCAGTTCCGTAATTAAATCGCCAACTATTAGAAAGTATAAACCATTTGGTAACACTTATGCTTCTCAACCCCAGATATTTTGTGAACGGCAGGGTATTACGTAATACGAAAGGTAGCATTATGTCGTTTTTTTCGAAATTATAGAGATTTTTTATGTAATAAGCCTGCACGTCAAGTTAGTTAGTTGACATTCAGGGTAATGGACTTATGCATGATTACTATATTTTAGCGTGAAAGCAATGGCGACTGGGCGCACTCTTGGATAATTGTTTAAATGGAACGGAGTATGATGAAATACTTCATTTTGATGCTCTTTATGAGTACTTTGTAATTCAAAATGGCGGACTGACAGGCTATCAAATTTTTGGTTTTCGAACATTGAATTGTTTATAACTCGTCAACCGATCATGAAATGTTCATTTGATTTTACGCATTTCCTGTTATTAGGTGCACATGTACCTGTAGGAAATAAATATCTATCTATCTACCTAACGTTTTGCCAAACCGTGGAACGGTAAAATCGGAAATGTGGAGAAATGTCTCTGTGAATGATATTTGAGGGGTTTTATACCTAAGTACAATATCTTTAATTAAGAGCAAACTTCCTATGGATGGTTCCGACAACGATGAATAGAAGACGCACATCATACACATATCGTCGGTCTCCGCTCGTACCGGCGTAACTAACATATTACAAATTTTACAGGAGAGCTAGAAAACGAAAATTAGCAATAAATGAGATTGAAAATGACATATTGATTTTTTAGTCTGAACGTTGCGGTTTTTTTTTTGTTAGACTAAAATGATGTAGAACCAGTTTTAACGCAGAGACGTAAATCTATTTAAGCCGGTACGTGAAAATTTTTTTCGGAATTTTATAACTTAGGCAATTTTCTGAAAATTTTAATTCTTAGCAGCGAACTGATATACAGCTACGCCAGTTCGTGAAGTAAGAGACTACAAAAAAATCTGTGAAATTACGGCGTAACCCGATTTTAGATTATTTGTCATTTACGCCTGTATGTGCGGAGACCGACGATATGTACAGGGTGACTTGTAATGTCACGTATTCCTGTTAAGGGGTGATAGATTAGGTCAAAGGCAACCGATTTTGTCCTATCATGTCTTATCCAAAAGTTAACCATTTTTGAGTTATTTGAATTTTAAGTTTTTTATTTTTTATTCCGATTTCAGACGGTTAAAATTGGAATACAAAAAAACTGCATCCTTGATTTTGAGTTTTTTGTTATCGTCGCATAGCAGACATTCCAATAGTTCATAATAAGTAATAAAATGTTGAAAAGCTACAAACGTTTTAAAATTACGCTTTTTAAATGTATCAATTTTTTTTTTACTAACTTATTCGATAAAAAATGCAATTTTCTGTAAAAAATCTCCTAGTAATGAAATGTGCAAATTATGTAAATAATATCTCTATCTAACAAGCTTTCATTTGAGGTATTAAGCGTTCAATTATCTGAAGTACATGCAGAGAAACAACAATGACACCCACAGAGGCTGGATTTTTAAGGATTTTGTATTACCTATTTGAACAAGTCGTTACTGTCCTCAAAGGACTCGCATGCCATGATTGTTTTATGGCATCGGCTCGACCATTGTAGTTACGCCATCGCCGCACGCCGAGTGAGAATTAGGTTTAGTTGGTATCAACTACTGCGTACGCGTACACGTCTTACGCACGATTATTATTTTCGAGTTTCCCAGTTCATTTCGAGTGGTTTCTTTATCATCATGGCAGACGCAGATGATCCGCCAGGACCTCGCCTTAGCGAGCACGGGCAAACTTTTACAAATGAAGAATCCGCAGACATAATGTTCTGATATGGACTTTGTAACGGCGATTCTGCAGCTGCCCGCCGTGAATATCGGCAACGTTTCCCGAATCTCCGAACACCTCATGTTACTGTGTTTGACTCTGTGTATCGGCGCATTCGCCAAACCGGACGTGTTCAAAGGCAACATAGTGATGCTGGTCGACCCCGAGTCTATCCTCCTGAAGATGAAGAGGAAATTCTTCGTGTGTTCCGGGAAGACCTTACTACGTCTACGTGCATTGTGGCTGCTCAGTTGGGTATATCACAATACAAAGTATGGTTTACTGTGCATACTGCAAGATTATACCCTTATCACTACACGCCTGTGCATGTGATTGAAGAGGGCGATCCTGCAAGACGATTAGATTTCTGCAGGTACATGTTACATACAGATACAGAAGATCCAGACTATTTTAAGAAAATTATGTGGACCGATGAATCGAAGTTTGATAAGGACGGGATCACTAACTACCATAATGCTCATTACTGGGCTGATAAAGAAGCTTTAAACCCCCGAAAAATTAGACCTACGGGGTCTCAGAGCCGGTTTTCAGTCAATGTGTGGATGGGCATCATTAATGGATATTCAATTGGACCTCATTTTCTGCCCGCCAATTTAAATGGAGAAGTGTATGAAGAGTTCTTGAAAAATCACTTGTTTCCATTAATGGAAGACGTCCCATTGGCGACGAGACAAAATATGCGGTTCCAGCACGACGGCTGTCTCGCACACTACAGTAGATTGGTACAGGCGTATTTAGACTCTAAATTTCCAAATCAATGGATTGGCAGAGGCGGGCCCATTGCCTGGCCAGCAAGAAGCCCAGATCTCACACCTATGGATTACTATGTGTAGGGACATATGAAAAGCCTGGTGTACGATGTTTCACCCGTACCAACGCGCGATGAATTAATTACAAGGATAATCAGTGCAGCTGACTAAATAAAAAGCCGCTTAACAACTAGAGTTACCAAAAGTGAATTACGTAAGAAAATGCGGGCATGTATTTGTAACAGGGGATTACAATTTGAGCAGAATCTGTAAAATACTAAAGGAGATGTAATTAAATAAAACTGTAATTAAAATAAAAGCCTTTTATTTATCCTACGTAATTATCGTTCGTACAACTTTACTCATCTTTTTTTAATTTTATGTCTTTGTACTTGAGTTAGTTGTAACTTTTATACCTCAAATGAAAGCTTGTTAGATAGAGATATTATTTACATAATTTGCACATTTCATTACTAGGAGATTTTTTACAGAAAATTGCATTTTTATCAAATAATTTAGTAAAAAAAAAAAGAAGAAAATCATACATTTCAAACGCATTAAAACTTTTGTAAGTTTTCAACATTTTATTACTTATTATGAACTATTGGAATGTCCGCTATGCGACGATAACAAAAAACTCAAAATCAAAAATGTAGTTTTTTGTATCTCTTATTTAACCGTCTGAAATCGGTATAAAAAATAAAAAAAAATAAAATTCAAATAACCCAAAAACGGTTAACTTCTGGATAGGACATTATAGGACAAAATCGGTTGCTTTTGACCTAATCTATCACCCCTTAACAGGAATACGTGACATTACAAGTCACCCTGTATATGGCTTTGTTATCTCTACTGGTCACGCGACTAGCGAGAAAATATTGTAATCGCGAAAAACTTTGAAATTGTTGTTTCGATGGATCACACGTACCCATTTTTGTCGATCTGTTTGTCTGTCCGCTTATCAGTGACCTCTATAACTTAGAATGTATCGCTCAGATTTTGATGAAACCGTGAAATAAGGTTACTACTTTACCAATGACGAGAAAACCATGTAGTTTTTGAAAATCGATCCAGTGACTAAAAACTGTAAAAATAAAAGTCGCCCTAACTTCTTTTCCTGACGATTCATTTTCATAAATTTTTTCGTAAGGGTTAAGCTTTGGGCGTTGTGACATCTGGTCTAAATAACATGCCTCCCTTTTTGGAGAAGGAGTGTGCTCGTATTTTAACCAAATTTCCGAAATTATGGGAACAGTCCCGAATTTGTCCTATATTTAAAAGCAGCGACAAAACCAATATTGAAAATTATAGAGCGGTGTACATTCTGTGCGTCTTTTGAAAAGCTTTTGAGATTTATAGACAAGCGATATACAGGGTGTTTCAAATCCGACCCTCACCACTGGGATCCTGGAAACTGTACGAGATACGAAGCCGCTTAAATGAGAGCAAAGCTGCGAATTTGGGTAATCAACAAAATGCCGCTTAGAAAGCTCCGAAATTCAAAGTAGTTCCGGAGAGAAACGGAAAAAATCGAATTTTAACAAAATTGTTTAAATCTTCACTTGGCATTATTTGTAATAGGATTTCAACATACATTGCACATTAACAACGCCACTTTTTTTTCTCTACGTCATAATAGAATTGCAATATGACGTTTCGTCTCTTATCCTCCAGCACCAACTTTTTTTTTCTAAAGGTCGCCATATGGATTTTCGCGCAGACGGATAGAGTTATTACTTCTGATTTCACAAAATGTATAATATGTCATAAATTGGCATTGCCAAACCTTAGTGATTCCAGAAAAACAGATTTCATTTGTTTCATATATTTCAAAGATTAATGTGGTACACGATTGTAAATAACTTCAAAATGACTTGATTGCCATTGAAGGCTGCTGTAATCAGAACAACCATCATCTCAACAACCAAACATTTAGAGCTGTCACATATAGCAGAAGAAACACAGTTGTTATTTACAACTATGTGGTCAATGGTTCTGAAGTTCAAAAAGCAACCACTTTTAAGGACCTAGGAATATTTTTTGATTCCACATTTGCTAACCATGTTAAGCAGATACTTTAAGACTTTATGAGTTTATTATGCAGAATTGTAGGCGCTTTTCGAATATTGATTTAGCCGAATTGTTGTTATTATATAGTTATGCCATATAGAGTCCCTTCTATGATTGCTATATCCTTGCAATAGAAAAAGTTTAACGAAAACCTTTAAAATACATGACTTTCAAAGCTAATGGGGCTTACCCTGATCGTGGCGTTGACTATGAATCCTAATGTAGCAGATTTGATCAAGATACTTTGCAACTGAAGCAAAATATATCATATCCACAAGATTCCATTCTAAGAAAATAATAAATATTATGCTTGGGTTGGGGACAAGAAACAAAACGTCACATTGAAATTCCAATTCTTTTCATTTTAAAAACCGGCAAGAAGAAATAAAAATGATTTTGGAAGAATTCGATCTCTTTCGTGTATAGCCGGAATTACGCGAAATTACGCAACTTTCTAAGTTCTATTTACTTAGTTACCTAAATGCGCAACTTTCTTCCACTTAACCATACTCGTATCTCTTACCGTTTCATAGATCCTAATAGTGAGAGTCGAACATGGAACAACTAGTGTAGCTATGTAGCGAAATTCTGAGGCTGGACCTGCACTTCGGAATTTTACGCTGCTTGTTTCTATTGGAGTGCAGGAAGGTATCAGGTTACAGATGATTGAATCTTCCCGTGTCAATAGCTGGGAAAGTATTGTGGCCGTAAAGAATTTCTAATCAACGAAATTATGATTTGGGTGTTTCTCTACATCGCCCATTTCCTTCGATCTGTTTATTTCTTCTCAAAAAATTGAGCAAAAACTCTTTGTCTCTCCAAAACCGGTAAAGTTCACGTGTTGGAATTTTGTTTAAGAAGATAATACGTGTTGGAAATGATGATACGTAAGACGTCACATCGTTTGTTATGGGGCAGAATTTTTATCGCTATATGTTTTGAATTACTTTCTAAAGGTACCATTCCCTGTAACTTGTTTACATAAAAACGAGCTGCTACATATAATAAGGAAAAGGAACCTCTCGTGATTCGCTTTATAGTAGAATTACATTATTGTACATTACTCACATGCAAAAAGCCATACATATTATGGATGTCCCTATGCTCAACATCAAATTTTCGATTCCCTTTTGAACTATGTCTGTTATCGGAAGGCATTGTCCACTCGTGCTGGTCATCGTCCACAGATGGTTCATTCATGTCGTTCCATATGCCCGCCAAAACTTCCGGATGTCCATGATTAAAGCTGTTGTCAGAATAGTGGTTGCCATAATATGTTCTCGCAGCTGAATTCAAAAAATCTACGTAGCTAGAATTGCCAGGCCAACACTTACCTACAAGGTAACAGAAAACAGGTATGTATAGATTTTCTTCCATTACTATGGTATATCAGCACATTTAATTTGATTAGACTTTGAAATATACATATCTGATTCTTTCTTCAACGTCCGACGACGCTGATAAATTTAATAAAAATAAAATTACATCTTGAAATAACCTAAAAATGCTAACGTGGTCGAAAGGTTCTCAACCAAAATATACTTTATATAACTTTGACTTTGAAGTTGAGTCATTAATTTTCAGATAATGATTGTAGAAGGAAGATAAACCAAAATATGTGTGTAAAAATAAAAAAATAAATAAAAAAAAAATGTTACCTTGTTTAATAAAGTATCGTCCCGACAAGTATTTCAGTGCGGACCTGTATTTGATCGTGCGGTCTTGGAGCAGCATGCCCTGATCTGTGAGGTCTTAAGTTACCTGATTCACGAGCCCTTTGTACTACATTAACAAAGGCACGAGGGGTTGGTTGCACTCGATTGGGAAACCGATTCGCATAAATCCGTGATGCATCCGGGAGCATTTTGTAAAGACTGCCCCCCCGTAAATAAAAATCATGTCCACAAGTTCAGCATTTTCGTAAACATGTGCCATTTTTGATTTCGTTTGAGCCACGCAACAAACACTACTCTTCACTAACGCGTTATCGACTGACGAAAAACATCGTGATAAACGTTTCAAATTCTTTCGCTTTTTTGTTTCCGATGCGATGAACCGGTCAGGCGGATTATATCCGTTGTCGCCAAACACGAACATATTATTATTGAGACAGGGCGGTACTCAAACTTCCAAAGGGCTATAACTTTGTTACTTTAATTTTACCAGAAAAATGGTAAAGGAAAAAAACATTTCTTTTGATCAGATCTACTCACTGTTAAAATAAATGACTCAACTTCGAAGTTATATATATATATATATATATATATATGTTTATTTTCCTATTTTTTGTTATACAGGGTGACAGGTAAATAGGTGTAAAACATTTTAGGAGATGATAGTACAGCTCCTTTGCAATAAAAATTAGTATATAATACCATACCCTATATTCAAAGGTTAAAAAGTTATGGAAGATTTCATTTTTTTTAAAAAACAACCCAGATTACAGAGTAAAATAGTTGAGATAAAAAAAAGTTGGTGATTAAACATTCTTTTTTTGGTGGTTTCAGGTTATTATTTAAATAAATAATTCTCATAAATTAACAAACATATGAAAACACTACTGAAAACGTATTTATTTTCATTCAAATGTTAAATGAAAATTTTTATTTTCAACTTTCACATTAAGAAGTCTTTTTTTTCAAAAAAATCATAATAAAGAAAATGTACAAACAACTGCAAAAACTTCCTCGTTTCATTAGGTTTCTAAAATGGTATAATAACATATCAGTAAGTAAACCATTTAACAAAACAATATTACTTTGCTAGAAAGGACCGCTAAGCGCATTTCATTGTACTGAGCAGGCAAACCGAGCCTTTCATGGTTCGACCCTTTTTGTTATTTTTTGTGCCCTGTGCCGTTATTCGGGTTTAAGTATTCGGAATCTGTCGTCGCTCCTCGGAAGCAAGCTCTGCGTGTGTTATGAATTGACACAGCTGACGGATCAAGGAAAGGGAACTAACGCTTAGGTTAGTAGAATATCAACCATTAACGCGGTAGGACGCACTTTTACTTTTTTGATCAGTTTTAATAATGGCGAGTTACCGTAACGAAGAATACGCTGATATTCTGTTTTGTTATGGTTTAAGTGATGGAAATTCCGTTGAAGCCAGGCGAGAATACGAAAATCGTTTTCCGAATCGGCGAATACCGAGTCATCGAGTATTTGCTTCTGTGTACCAACGCGCCAAGGAAAGTGGACAGGTTCATGAGAGACGTCATGATGCTGGTAGACCTCGGTTGTTTGACGTCGAAGATCGAGAGGCAATACTGGAATGCTACGGCAGAGATCCGACGACGTCTACACGAGTTATAGCAAAGCAGCTTGGTTTAACTCAGTGGAAAGTTTGGTTCGTTTTGCATTCGGTGAGACTTTACGCTTTCCATTACACACCGGTTCAAGTATTATAAGAAGGAGACCCCGCAAGAAGAATTGATTTTTGTCGATACATGCTTCATCGGGATCAAGAAGAAAACGACTATTTAACTAAAATATTGTGGACCGACGAGTCTAAGTTTGACAGAGAGGGGACAACAAATTATCACAACTTACATTATTGGGCCCCACGAGAGGCAAATCCCCACATGGCAAAGCCAAGAGCCCATCAAAGAAGATTTTCGGCAAACGTGTGGATGGGAATCATTCATACGTATCTAATTGGACCAGTTTTTTTGCCTGACAACCTGAATGGCGAATCCTATGAAAACTTTTTGAGATCCGAACTCTGGGAGTATCTCGAAGACCTGCCTCTGAATATCAGGATGCAGATGATCTACCAACACGATGGCTGTCCCGCGCATTTCCGTCTGGGTGTTAGACAGTGGCTGGACGAGAAATATCCTTGTCGCTGGATTGGCCGAGGTGGACCGACACCGTGGCCAGCGAGGAGCCCAGATTTAACACCGTGTGACTATTATTTATGGGGGCACATGAAGTCACTGGTGTACGCTAAGCACATAGACACTCTTGTACAGTTGAAAGAAAGAATTATTGCTGCTGCTGACACTATCAGAGGACAACTAACTGGCCGCATCACGCGTACCAACATGAGAAAAAGACTACGGGCTTGCATAAGAAACGGCGGGCATCAGTTCGAACAACCATTGCAATGAATTTTACCTTCATTTCATTATTGTATTTTACTTATCAATTGTAGTAACTTTTAGTCAGTTTTTATTCTTCTGTGGTACAATTACAACTGTGTAAATAATCCAATCGTGTAACTTAACCGTAGTTTAAAATAATAACTATCCCATAGCTTACAGTTACATTATTTTCACAAAAACACTTTCTTATCAATCAGACAGTTGTGAAAATAGGAGACAAGCCATTGGTAAATTTACTCCCAATTGTTGTATTACAATACATTATGTTTAGTTTCACACAGTTTTTGTGCACTTATCATCCCAATTTAGATTCCTTATGAAACAAGGATATTATTTAAATTGTTTGTACGTTTTTTTGTATACTGATTTTTTTGTAAAACACCCTACTTACTGTAAAACGTTATTTGTTCTTCTTAGTTAAATATTTTTGAATGAAAATAAATACGTTGTTTGGTATTGTTTTCGAATCTTTTTTAATTTATAATAGTTAATTATTGAAATAACCCAAAACCACAAGAAACAAATGTTTTATCGCCAACTTTTTTCTTTCTTGACTTTTTTACTCTGAAATATGGACTGTTTTTAAAAAAATCTTCAATCTTCAATAACTTTGAATATAGGGTATACTAATTTCGATAGCAAAGGGGCTGTACTATCACCTCCTAAAATGTTTTACACCTATTTACCTGTATGTACAAAACATAGGAAAATAATATATACGCTGTCATTGTTATGGACAATGCTTTATACGATAGTAGGCGTATTGATAAAGCACCAAACAGTGGAACCAGAAAGGGGAAAATACGTAGTCGTGCCATAAGTTCTGTCCCATGATAATCTCATGATAAAAATGAAACAAGATAAGATATATTTATATGAAAGATATTATTTATTCGACAACATTTTTAGAATTCATAATCAAACAGTTTTATTCAAAATGTCCCCCCTTGGCCTTCACACACTGCTTCAATCTCGCGGGCCACTCATCTATCACTGCACGCACAGCTTCCAAAGAAATAGCTGCCGCTGATCGGATCAAATCCGCTTTCAGGGACTCGATATTACGGTGGGCTTTGGAGCAGGCCAACTGCTCTAGCAGGTCCCACAACTTGTAGTCTAAAGGATTGAGGTCCGGACTCCCTGAGGGCCAATCTTCCGCAGCAATGAACTCTGGCACATTGCTTTCCAGCCAGCGCTGCGTACTCTTAGCCTTGTGAGCGGGGGCGGAATCCTGCTGGTAGACCCAGTGTTGGTTGGCAAACAATGTACCACTTAAAGGCTTGACGATAGGATCCAGTATGTCGCTCTGATAGTTTGCCGCTTTTGTTTTCACGCCCTGTTTACAGAAATGGAGCTGAGTGACCCCTTCGTAGGACACCCCCCACCAAACCATGACTGACGCAATGTGGTGGCCTCTCTCAACTCTCGGAATGATCTCCGAAGCTTCCTGTGAACTCCTTGCATACACTTTGTCATTTTGTCGGTTGAATTTTTCTTCTATGGTGAAGATTTTCTCATCCGTGAACAAAATCTTTCGGAATCCCCCAGCTGCGTACCTCTCCAAGAGCTTCTTGGATCTTGTCGCCCTGATGTGTCGCAAGGTGGCCGTAAGTCGCTGGCCCGTACGTCTCCGGTAAGCCCCTAGCCCTAGGTCTTGTTTAATGATGCGCGACATCGTCCGGACAGGAATCTTCATTTCCCTGGATAGGATCTTCTGCTTCCGGAGTGGATTCCTTTGAATCCTGGCTTTTACGGCTTTGATGGCTGCTGGAGTCCTTACTTGACGAGGTCTTCCGCTTCTTGGCCTGTCATCAACAGAGGACGTCTCATTGTACCGCTGAATGGTCCTAGACACAAATTTACGCGATATTTGAAGGCCGCGTAAGAGTTCAAAAATCTGACTAGCACTGTGATTACACTTATGTAAAGCTATCGCTGCAATACGGTTCTCTGCCTTGCCCCACTCCATCGTTATGCTTCGAGAGATCAATACAAACTGAGGTATATGTAATTACCCGAAAAGCGCTTAATCAACTGACACCACAATGTAAACAATCGGACAAGTACTAACAGGTCTACACTTGTTTGAAAACGAGGGACAGAACTTATGGCATGACTACGTACAGGAAAGGCTACGAAGGCATAATTTTCCCTTGGACAACGATATGGTCAAAGCCGAACTTCTGGTCAAGGGCAATAAAAGCGCTGACAAGTATGTCATCGACGAAATGGCTAAATCTACCAATCGGACTATTTTACGCCTGTCACCTAACTATTGCGAGTTTAACCCAATCGAGTTAATTTGGGCGCAAATAAAAACAAAGTTTCCAGAAAAAGCACAACTTTCAAAATCGCAGATGCAAAGCAGCTTTTTTACACCGCGGTACAAAATGTAAATCTGGAAAATTGGGAAAAGCAATCGAACATGTTGAGAAGGAAGAAGAAAAAAATGTGGACAACTGACCAATGTATGGAAATAGTGGTTGAACCAGTGATTATTAACTTAGGAAACGATTCAGAATCTTGATATTATACTGATAGTGATAGGGATTAGTTAATAAACGTAATTTGTATATTTACTGGATAATGACGAAGGGTTTATATCCCTAAACGTACTTATATAATTACCATGTTTATTTCTACGGCTCTATCCGTATAGATTTCAAAGTAGGTTATCCCAATCCTGTGTTAATCCTGACCTCTAATTTCGAAGGAGCCATCTGTCCAAGATTTTGACGTTATCAGTTTTGGTTTGACTGGTGGATTGCCGAAATAAACGGTCAGGATTACACATGATTGGAATAATCCACTTTAAAGTCTATCCGGATAGAGCCGTCGAAATAAACGTGGTAATGAATGCAAGTAGATTCATTATTAGGTATTATATTGAAAACATCCAGAATCCAATCTGAAAAAGAATTTAATTTTTGAGTCCTTTTCTTTATTTTTTCCCATGTATTAAAATTATTTTTGTAATATAAAAAATATGTAAAGTTAAGGAATCATAAACTGGGGCAGCATATTTAATATGCAATGTGTAATGTAAATTAAATGGTACCTCATTAATTTTAAAACCGGTTTTGCAGGTAGTTGTGCAGTGTAAATCGGGCTGCCCTGTCACTTGCGAAATTCAGGAACAGGCATGGTATACGGGTGTTAAAAATTTCCGTGAAAAATTATCCTGAAATGAAAGCTCTGTAGACCCTTTCACACTGACATTGTCGGAAAAAATTAAGAGTTTGAATATTTCTCATTCTCAAGTATATAACCCCGATGAGTCAGCTTTGTATTGCACGCTGCTGGCAGAGAATACATTAGCAGGTTTTCATGAAAAAACAGCGCCTGGACGGAAACTGTGCAAGCAGAGAGTAACATTCTTTGCCTGCGTGAATAGCGATGGGCATTAGGATACATAAAGTCAAGCTGTTAACGATCAGGAAAGCTAAAAATCCGAGAGCTTTCAAAAATGCATCACTCCCGGTTGAATACAAATCATCACGCAACGCATGGATGACCACTGCTATATTCCAGGAATGATACCACCACTCATTCGTGCCGCAGGTCAGACGTTACTTAAAAGAAAAAACTACCCGCAAAAACCCTTCTACTTGTGGAAAATGCCTCCAGCCATGGACCTCAAGAACAACTTGTAACAGAAGATGGCTGCATTACAACACTTTTTTTGCCGCCAAACTACACAGCTCTCATTTAGCCATTAGACCAAAGCGCCATTCGCTTAACAAAGCTATTTTGCAGAAAGAGCTTGTTAGCACACATTCTTTCCAGTGATGAACAAGACATTTGCAAATTACTCACGAAAATTACTCTGAAAGATGAGACGTGTCATCTACATAACGCATGGGAGAAAATTCCCCACATGTTTCACAAAAATGCTGGATCAAAAATCTACCCAGTGAACAGGCGACGATCCTGATGATTTAATACCGCTGAGTTTAGTGAGGTAAAAAATGTTGGAAATTCCAGAGGAACAGACATGTTAAATTTTCTATCACAAGAAACCATGAGCGAAGAAGAAATTAGGATCTGGATTGAAAATGATAAAGAATCATTGCCGCTTGAAGATAGTGCGGTGGAAATCAGTGGCGATGGAGAACAGCAGGAAACTAGTAATTTAAAGACTGTACAAAATAAAACCGCGCTTAACAGTTTAAATGTGATTCTGAAGTGAGCGGAAGAAAACGACTTACCTTTAAATGATATTTTAGTGTTGCAAGGATCAAAAGAAAATGCTTTCTTGAGGAATCAAAAAACGTTAAGCAAATCAAAATTACAAGTTTCTTCAATAAACAATAGTTTGTCATGTTTCCTGTATGTACCCACATATGTTTTGCATTTTGTGTTCATTAAAATATTAATAAATAAACGTGCTCCAATAGTCGGAATTTTTCACTAATCTGAATCGCCCTGGTCGTTACTGGTTCGGATTATCGTTATGGTTCTACTGTATATAATTTTTTTTACTATGTCCGTACCTACAAAATCAGTTCTTCCGTCTTTCACTTTAACAAAATGCTTGTTCTTTCCTTCTTCATATACTCCATAATTTTCATCTACTTTTATGTGAGGATCAACAATGGCCACTAGCTTTCTGCCATCATCTCCCAATATCTTAAGCATTTGCCTTACACCATTGCCATCTTCACCAGTAAAGTTTTTAGACCAAGTGAAATACTTTTTGTCGTCAGTATAATCAATATCCAGCCAAATTGCGTCTAATGGAAAGTCATTTTGTGTCATGTTCTTGACCACCTCCAGTACCTCTTCTTTGGTGTAATACGACCATCGAGATTGATGGTATCCCAATGTCCACAACTGGAATAAAATAAAATGCTAGTTTTAAGAACAAGAGGGTACGCCTGCTCCTAAGGTGTCTCATTGTGAAATATTCTGCTCGAAGAAGCTTTGGCAGTTAGTTATTGAACCAACTAGATCTTTAGCGCAAAGACGTAGCAACAATGGCAAGCGCCACCTACAAGTGGCGTCGATAAAGCTTGTTGCATCTTCAGCCTATACGCTGAAAATAACAGGAAGGCACAATTCGGCGTAATTAACTAGTAGGTGTCGCCTATCATTGTTGTCACCTCTTTGCGCACAACACAGTTTCAGCTTTTCTGTAGACCATACCTGCTTGTTAGCCTTGTTCGACTGTCTCCAACGAATAGACTTCTACCGCACTAATGATTGCTCATAATCGAGATAGAAAGCTGTCTGCGGTCGGTGATAGTTACAGAGACGAAAGGTAAACAGATTCTGTTCAGCCCAAGATATTTAATACCTTTATAGCAATCACAGTACGCCTCATCCCAACAGAAATATCATGACATAGTATTACAAGTGTAGCAGATTTTTAAATCTTTTGAAGATCAAGATACATATTTCAAAAACACTGAAGTAGGTTATAAGCACATGATTTATAGAGCTACTTGCTACTTTATAAAAAGAAAATATAAACACTATAAACTTGTTTTGATTATCTTTGTTATAAAAGTATGATGATTGCCTCATGTTCGATGACTACAGCAAATAGCGCTGTAAAAATATGTTTAACGTATTCTCCAAGGAGATGCCCAACCATATGCTATACTTGGACATTTATTTACAGTTTCTATCGATACAGTCATGTTGCCAAGTGGACCACAGTAACTCCCTTATAACAAATAAAAGATAATCGTGGACATGGAACAGGAGCAGAAATAGACGGATTGGTAACCCGAGCAACGTACGTTCCTGCTTATTGACTTCATCAGACCCAAATGGATGTGTATCGAAAGCACTGAAGTTAAAACGTATTCCCGTCACATCTGGATACGGGTTTAACCTGAAGGAAAACAAGGATCGAAACTGAAATATCACTAGAAGCCACCAACAAAGGCCAGAAAGCACATTTGAGGCTTCGGTCAAAAGACCTCGCCCATCAATAACTAACATCGCTACGAAGGCCAGCTATAGCTACCTTCCTTCTACTTTAAGCCCATGAGTTCTAGTTGTATATCCCTTTGAACATATGCTTTCACTTCAGTGTTTTCGATGCACATCCATTTGCGCCTGATGCAGCCAATAAGCCTCGTTTTGCAGCCGTACATGTTGCTTAAGCGTTAGAGATCATAGCGAGCAAACGTGAAATGGACTATTTACACACTAAAAACTACCTAGACTGCAAGATGACATTTCGTCGTTTTTTTGATGTTTTTACATAATCCTGCGGGTCATAAATCTCAACGTAGGTTATGTAACCCCAGCCTGCACGAACGCAGCGACAATATTTTACTCCAGTCTCCGACGAACGTCTAGAGTCAAGTTAGAGTTTAAAGTGCTAACTCGCTAACTCACCTAGGTGGAATATATACTGAGTGACAAAAAAAGGTGAACATCTACGTATGTTTATTAGAATTTAAGAATTTTTTACATATCGATTTATCTTGCCATGAACAACAAGTGATAAAATGGTCAGGTTTTTCTGTTAAGTTTTTTAGGAGGACCAACAGATCCTTCACAGTATATGTACTACAGTGTGATTTGAAGAACATGGAAGGATGGTTGGTATGCGTATGGTATATCGCCAAATACGACAGTTTGGCCTTTTTTCTTATCGCCCACATTAGGTGCTACCTCTCACAGGAGTAACCGTTTGCCCTGGTGTAGAGAAATAACTCTATGGGACTGGGAATGGAATCAGGTGGGCTTTAGTGACAAATCCCGCTTCTGTCTGGGGATGCACGATGGTCGGGCAAGAGTGCGAAAGGCGACGTGATGAAAGACGTGACCCTCAATCTGACAAAGAGCGTCACGTTCACCACACCGTGGGAGTTATGGTATGAAATGAAATGAAATGAAATGAAATGAATGAAATGAAATGAAATGAAATGAAATGAAATGAATGAAATGAAATGAATGAAATGAAATGAAATGAAATGAAATGAATGAAATGAAATGAAATGAAATGAAATGAAATGAAATGAAATGAAATGAAATGAAATGAAATGAAATGAAATGAAATGAAATGAAATGAAATGAAATGAAATGAAATGAAATGAAATGAAATGAAATGAAATGAAATGAAATGAAATGAAATGAATGAATGAAATGAAATGAAATGAAATGAAATGAAATGAAATGAAATGAAATGAAATGAAATGAAATGAAATGAAATGAAATGAAATGAAATGAAATGAAATGAAATGAAATGAAATGAAATGAAATGAGGAATGAAATGAAATGAAATGTTTATTATTCTTAGCCCTAAAGCTACTTCCTATAGTTTATAATAGTGTCTTACTCCTGTAATAAACAAAAAAACAGTAATTCTAGATTCCTTAAAATCATAGTATCTGCGACCACAGTAAATGCAACAATAGCAAATGCGAGATAATGACATACAGTTAACTTAACACAGAAAGTACATATATTATGCCATTTTATCTAGATACAATTGCTTAACCTTACGAATAAATATATTTACAGACGTCGCTTCTCTAATTTCTGTAGGTAATGCATTAAAAAGTCTCAAACCATCACTAAAAGACATTTTTGCATATGGGATGTTCTAGCGAATTCTATGTCAAAAGTGTTACGTGACCTGATATTATATGCATGCCTCTCGGACCTCGGTATTAGATATTCCTGCAAGTATTCAGACAATAAATGATTTTTTGTTTTAAAAATAAATAGGACATTTGAAATTTCTACCTTTTGCTGTATTGAAAGCCATCCGAGGGTTTTTAACATTAAATTAATAGGCGTATAACGTGTACAAAATAATATAGTACGCATAGCCTTATTTTGTAGTAACTGGAGCCTTTGAATATCAGTTTTTTTGCATGATAGTAACAATGGAAAACAATAATTAAAATGTGGATACATGATGGTATTATATACAAGAACACGACTCCAGTGACTAAGACTTTCAGATATTCGCCTAAAAAATCCTATTTTTTTCCCAATCTTTTTACTAACATAATCAACATGCAATGAAAAATTTAGCTGAGGATCTAAAACTACGCCCAAATACTTCATACTAGATGCTCTTTCAATTTGAATATTATCTATCTCAATACAAAATTTCTTTTCTAAAAATGTATTACAGTTCTGCTTTGTCCCAAAAACCATGTATTTTGTTTTTTCTACATTCAACTTAAGCCTATTCACACATAACCAGTTATACAAAATTTCCAATATTGAGTTCATAGAATCTACAACTTGTCTAAAATCCTTACCGTATGCATAAAGCAATGTATCGTCTGCAAATAAGCTCAGAAATGTATTTACTAAAACCCTGTTCAATAAAGTAGGAACAAAAGCGGGCCCAACACACTACCCTGAGGTACCCCAATTTCACTATCAATTGAATTGGACGCCACGTTATTAATCTTCGTCACATGACAACGGTCTTTCAAGTAGTTCATAAACCATTTTAGTGCACTGTCTGTAATCCCATAGGTCTGCAATTTCTGGATCAGTCTTTCCTATCAATAGTCTCAAATGCACGTTGAAGGTCGATAAATACACTTAACACAATATTCCCGTCATGAATGTATGAACGCCATTTCGAACAGACATACTGCAGCGCCGACTCGCACGAGTGTTTTTCCCGAAATCCCGACTGTCCCTTAAACAACAGTTTTCTTGCCTCCAGAAACTCCCGTAACTGCGCACAAACCACGGTTTCCAAGATTTTGTCTATCACTGATAACAAGTTAATGGGTCGGTTATTGTGCTGGTTTATTTGGTGAGGACACTTTTGGAATAGGCACTATACGTTAATACTAGTTTTTATTGCTTTTGGAATTTTTCCTGTTGTAAGGGATGCATTGATCAAGTGAAGCAAAGGGTATCCGAGTACACAAAAAGCCGTTTTCAAAAACTTAACATTACAAATATCATCCGCTGTTGACTTGTTTTTAAGTTCCATTACCCTTTTTCTAAGTTGATCAATGCTTATAGTGTTGAAGCTTGACAGACCATCACTGAACTGTGGCAATTCTTGAAATGTCGGTGCAACTTTTGGTATTTTGTCGGCTATTTCATTTCATTTCCAGTATCTTCCTCAAATTCAATATTATCATATGACAGAACATTCTTGTTTTTGCTGCCTACAACTTGCTTTAAAGTTTGCCACATTTTTTTGCTATCCCCCTTGCATTGGTCAATAGTAATTTCATAATATTTTTTCTTTTCGTTTCGAATAACACGAGCGTAAATGTTCCTTTTTTTCTTATACAGATTCCAGTCTGAATTTAGTTTGGTTATTTTGAACTTTTTATAAGCTTCGTCCCTGTCTCTTCGGGCTTGGATTACGAACCTATTAATCCACGGTTGTTTGCGGGTTTGAGTTTTTTCAAGAGGTACAACTTTATTTACAGTTTCTGTAATATTTTTCATAAACTTTTCATATAATAGGTCCACATCTGTTGTTGAATAGTCCCAATCTTTTCCGTAGAGTTCAGCTATAATAGTGTTAATCTTTTCCTTATTAAATTTTCGTTTATATTTCATTTCCTCTGTTTTAACCTCATGTTGCACATCCAATACGCAGCCTATAATTCGATGATCTGAAATTTGTGGAAAATCACCCGTGATTTCTTCAAGCAAGTAATTGTTAGTCACAATTAAATCAATCAGGGTGGCTGACATATTTGTCACTCTAGTGAACTCTTGAACTATTTGTGTAAATCCTGCATCTGATATTTATTAATTTTTTTTGGCTTGGGTTCTCGGTCTCTAAGCGAATATTAAAATCTCCCAAAAAAATACTTTGATGAGTTGTAATTAAATCATCTTCCAGTAATTCCTCAAAAAATTGGAAAAATAAGTCC